AAAAACGAGAAATTATTTTAGACTATTTTTACACCATACAGTTCATGTAATAAGTTAAATATAAGTTAATAAGATCGTACAAAACATGCCATTACCATTTAATGCATAGTAGAAAATTTCACAAATGAAAATACAAAAAGATAATGATACTATAGTAAACATAGTGGGGAGGAACAACAAAGCAAACATAATAAGAATATATCCAAAGAAGGTAAAAACTAAGAAACAAGGGATCAAGTTTGTTCTAAATGAGGAACACTTCATGAATATCGAAGGAATAAGTGTCCTGTCTATGGAAAATTCTGTCATGAATTGAAAAAGACATACCATTTTGTTAATAATGTAAAAGCTAATTCAGAAGTTAAACAACAAAATTGCGGTTTTGCAGCTGAGGATGGTGGTTTGGTAAAACCCATCGAAACTAGTCCTGCAAAAATTTTGAAAATATAACGCTGATTTTTGTTGTTTGACTTCCAAATTAGTATTTATTTGGCGTGTTATTGTGTCTTAATTAACATAAAAACTATAAATTAAAAAAAAATTAAACTATTCAAGCAGGGAAGGGAGGAGGACAGAAACAATTTAAATTACTAAATCATGGAGAATAAATAAGGAACATCAAGCTTTAGTTTGAATAATAAAGAATAGAAGTGGACTGTTGTTGTTGATGCAAATAAAAATAAACTTAATTTGCAGTTAGATACAAAAACAATGTGTAGTGTTTCTAAAAGCACAGGGAAAATTTTGAAGTTCCCAAAGCAGAAATCTGAAATTAAAAGATAAGTTAAATTTTGTGGGAATAAAATGGATAGTATAGGAAAAGTTGACCTTAACTGTCAATATGGAAAAAATACGTTAACTTTTTATATTAGGATTAAAATCATGTCTGCAACTAGGTTTGATTCAAAAATAATGTCTGTTCATGCCCAAGACTTACTAGAGAAGGATTAGATTGTTTAAAAGGAAAATATACAATCCATTTAAAATAAGAGGCAACACCAATAATTCATCCTCCAAAAAAATATCCAGATTTAAATATCATTCAGTAAGTAAAAGAACCAGATGAATGGGTAACTTCAATAGTCACTATTGTCAAATGTAATTAAATAAAAAAAAAAAAATATTTTAATTCTCGAAGCTGTTACTACAAAACCAAAAGCATAAATAGCCTCTGTTTTAGATGCTAATAGTGCTTTTTGGCAAATCCAGCTTGATGATGAAAGTAAATATATATATACCTTTTGGCAGATACATATTTAAAAGATTAGCATTTGGCATGATATTTTTCAGTAATAAACTCAAATACATCATAACACTGAAATTCTCATTTATTTATCATAGATGTTTTACAGTAAAATATTATAAATCATACATCCTATAAAAATTGGCATGAAACAAAAAAAATTCCTTGGCTATTAGTGGCTTTTGCTTTATTCTCACACTGTGTTTTGAGACAGTATAACACAATCATATCCAAATTTATCTTTACATAGCCAAAAATTATATTCCATGAAATATCCAATTAATGTAATCCATTTTTGTAGTGAATGTGTGAATCAAGCTTAATTAGCATTACCCACTCAAAAGTGATCAAACAGTTGCAAATAAAGGTGCTACATTATCTGATGGTAGATCAAGTGCATAGTGCAAAGTAAATGCCTAAGTTAATTTCATAACATAGCATTTGATTTCAGTGTGTAAGCACTCAAAATGGTTTGTTATCGCACTAAAGTGTCATCTGGAAAAATATGAGATGTGAATGAATCATCAATCATTTAGAAGCAGGGCAAACAACCATGGAAGCAGTGGCATTGTAGATATTTCAAGACAATCTCTATGCTATGGAATCAATTTCAGAACTCTGGAATTGTAAGAAGTCCCAGACAATGTTATAAACAAATAATAACTGCATATCAAGATCAACATCTGGAAATAACTTCATGTCGTTACAGAAAGTCTACTGCTTGGCAGCTAAGTTCCGAGCTTGCAGCTGCCACTGGAACTGTTATATCACAGTAAATTGTATACAGAAGGCTTAATGAAAAAGGCCTTAATTCAAGAAAGACAAAGGTATATGGTTCACTATCTAACACCAGTGGCAGAACTACATTAACCATTAAGCAAAATAAGCACATGCTTAAGGCATCAAGGAAACAGTTACCACAAAAAGGTCCTTAGGAAATGGGGCAACACAAAAAATTTCCATTTCCAATTTTATCACAGATTGGTACAACTAAACCAAGAGAGAGAAAGAAAAAATAGGAGAAAAGTAGCAGTAAATGTATGCAGGGGAACCAAAATAACTCAAATGCTTGAGGCCTCTGAAAGTCTTAATATAACCCTAATCAACAGTCCTATGTTCTCTTTACATGAGTCGAAGTTTAGTTCAAAATCTGATTCCAAATGTGTTCACATCTGGAGGAAGACAAGAACATGTAATACGCCTTCGAACATTATCAAACATGACTGTTTTACTGTTTTGGTAATGCAGGTGTGATGGTAAAGAGAGAGATAATGATCCATAAAGATTTCAACAGGTTTAACCTACAGGTTTCCAGAGATGTTGGAATGAGATCTTACAGCCTTATATAAGACATTCCAGAGGTGAATGTAGATCTTACCTTTTATTTATGCATGATAATGTTCATCCACATCGAGCAATCCTTTTTAATGAATTCCTTGAAAGTGAAGACACTGAGTGAATACCATGGCCAAGAAAATTTTCTGATCTTCACTCAACACAGAACTGATGGGACTACCTTGCAAAAGCAGTTGCCTGGAAAGCTCGTTCTTCTAGAGGTGTAAATGCATTAAAGCCTGCATTGCTGGAGGAGTGGAACTTAATTCCCAAAACTGTGGTTAACAACATTATTGCCAGCATAAAAACACATTACGATATGTGTGTCTCTCTGAACACTTCTTGTAACATGTTGTTACCATTTTTATTCTTTCATGCTACAGTTTTATATCATATGCAGTGATCTTAAATTTTTCCTTTGTATTTACATGATATGATGTTCTGTATACTCTCGCACAAATCCATAAAATTACAGTTCTCAGTTTCTGAGCAATTCATGATTTCATGTATATAAAGATAATTTTGGACATCAGTGCATATGACACAATCAAGCTGCTACAATGAAAGACCTTGGTGACTCAAAAGAAAACTAAAGTTTCCAGCAGGTTAATTTGGTTTTAACTTTAGAAAAAGACTGAAATTTTCATTTGTTTATTACATAAGTTTAATATAAATGTATAACATGGATTTTATAAAAGCAGCTTTTATAACAGAAAAACTTGAAACAATTTTATTTTCACATTATATTTTGAGGAGTTTGATAAAATAACATTTAAAATTATTTCAGAATTATAATTCAGTTTTCTGTGTTGAGTTTCTTATCTGTTTGTGAAGAAGAATCAATTTTAAAAAATCATTAACCTATAGATAATAATTATTTTGTTTACCAAAAAACCAATAATGAAACTTAAAATAGCTTGCCTGTATGTAGTTATGATATCATTAACTAATTTGTTAATTTGCTAATAAGTCATTATTTGTTTATAAGTAAGTATTAAGCTAAACAAAATTTTTTAAATCTTAACATAACTGAAGAGAAAAGAAAAATCTTACTTGGATATAAATAAAATATGACTTGCAGAACTAAAATATTAAGATACAACTGTAATAATAAAAACTGCATTAATGAAATTCATGAAACTTACAAAATAGCTAGGTATAAACAAAACTCCAAGCTCATAAGAACGAATCATAAACTGAGTACCCTTCTTTTCTAAAGCTCCCCACGCAGCCTTTGACAAATTGGCACTGAATATAAAAAGAAAAGATTATGCACATTTGTTTCATTAACTGAAACAAGTCTAAATAAAAATTAAAAGAAAATTTTCATTTTAATACTTGCACCAAAACTTGGCACACAAATATAAGTACAATAAGGAGGACTTAATGAATCAAATGGTATTTGGGATTACATTATTTTTTTTCAATCATAATTTTCACCATCAACATAGTTCTTTTCTAATTTACTGAATTAATATTCTACAGACACATTTATTTCAGCATTTTAGTTTACAAGGATAAAATATACAAAAAAGCAAACATAATTTTTTTGCATTATATTTTCATAACAGCATTCAATAATAATAAGGATGTTTCTAGTTTCTTGTTCTACAAACAAACTTAAAAAGGTCTAATGAAAAAAAAAAAAAAATAAGAAAGAATTAAAGAAATAAGAAAAGCAACAGCGCTCATTTCAAAGAGAGAAATTTTCAGTTTTCAGCACCTGACTATAGTAGAACTTTAGATATCTACATTATATATATATTTAGAACAACTAAATGGATCCTTCCCTCCCCCCTCCGGAGGCCAAATAAGATTAACTTTATTTCAATTTACTTACACATTTTAAATTTTCATGACTTAAATAACATTAAAAGAAAATACACTACAGTACAGAATATGTACAATAGTGGGTATACGTACAGTAAATACAATTAAAACATAGTTTTGTAATAAAACCAATCATCTTTTTTTTCCAACCTTTTCTCATAAAAAGAGTTTATAAATTTAAAGATTTCCCTTGCTTTATAAAACAAATGATTGCAAACTTTTCCATGAAAGGCATAAAGTCAAAAGATTACTCTTACTTAATGCAGGAAAAACTTGCAGTCAACAACAAAAAAAAAAAAAAAAAAAAAAAAAAAATCTATATTATCAACCAAGGCTTAAAATCTAAAATTAAATGATTAAATGACAAACACAATTCATACACATATGAAAATTCATCAAGGAAAATCCACAGTATGAAATAATATTTAATTTTCTAAAGCGAAAAGCCCACTGCTAATATATTGTCATTACTTTAATAATTCTGGATTGTTGCATCAACAGTTCAATGGTGATATTCTGGCATCCTGCCCACTTCTATTACAGGTCTAGTAAAACCCTGCTTAACATGGGGGTTACGTTCCATCAAAGTAGAGCATTACACGAAATAGCAATAAATAAGATCATCTTTTGCTGTAAAATAATGCAGATAACAGTGCTGAGGGAAAAATACTGGAAGTTTTACAAAAAACAATATGAGTGTTATTTAGCTTCTCTATATTGATCACTGCTTGATTAGAGCCCAGGTTTTATGTTAAAATACTATTTTAATTTTAAAAGCCGCGCCATATGTATTTATAAAGAAAATGTCAAAAGCAATTTTTACTTACTCCCCAGTACTTTAATCGAAAAGAATTTTAAATAAAATAAGGGCTTTTTTGATTTTGTGTTACCTTTAGTTAAAAATCATGTTCTTCGCACTTAAACCATAAAATTCAATTCACCAGCAATATCCCAAAATATTTAAAAGAGCCTATCTTTAGAATTTCTGATACACAGTCCCATGCGCTGAAGATAAAAATGTGGATTTTTTCGCCTTATAGTGTTGCCATTGCTCGCTTTTAAATAGTTGAGTTTCTTAATCAAAAACTCATAAATGCATTAAACAATATGAAATAGATAATGAAACAAATTCCAAATTTAGGCTTTCAGATGCAAATATTCAGGTGGAGATGTACGTTATTCAAAATTTGATGGCTCTAGGTTTTACCACAGCACGAGAAACATACATACATTTACGCGATTTCTTCATTATTTAAATTTCTTAAATATGCAGGGCTCTAATATTTGTGGCAACAATTTAAAAAGTGATTCGTATAGTGAATCAATGCAAAAAAAAAAAAATCTTCTCGCTTTTTTTTTAATAGCTTTGTTATTGCCATCTTGCGTTCGATTTCACATTCCACATCATCAATCCTCGATCGATTTACTTTTTTCATTCCAGAAGTTTTAGCTTTTGTTTTTGTATGACATTATTTTCTTTATTCAGAAACCTTTATTGTTGAAGATTTTCACTGCACCCTTGACATTGTTGTTCACCACGTCTAGCTTTACGCACTTGCATTTTAATTTCTAGGGAAATGCTTTCTTCTTGTCACTTAATTTTCATGTTTCTTATTATCACTCATATTAAAAAATAAAAATTATAATTTTTATCACTATATCAAGCATTATATTACATAAATTCCCCTCCTGAACTGTTCTAGACAATTAAAACGTCTTGATAAAAGTGTAAAGCCTATATATTATGCTACTTTGTTTGCATGCTTGGACTTCTAAATCACAGATTTCTACAATAGTTGCATAAAAAAAAAAAAAAAAAAAAAAAGAAGTTGGTATTTTCACTTTTCATTTTTCTTTGTAAAAGAAAAGGTCTTCACATTTCATTTGTTAACCAAAATAAAGAAATAAAGATACTAATTTGATCTTACATGAGTGAGATTAAGTTAAGAATGAGGTGGTGGCATAAAAAAAAACTTTAATAAAACAAGATATATCTATATTACAAATTGTAAATGTTAAAATGTAATAATATGATGTACAATGCCAGTTTTATTGCTTTATACAAATAGAAAATTACTTAAGTTTAATACTAACTAAACAGAAATAAGTTACATACTTCATGTTATGCAAATAAAAAAAAATTTCCTTTTATTTTAATACAGTAAAAATTAAAATGTATTGTTTTTTGCATACAAATAAATTTTCTTCATTGCTCAATTTTAGATGAAATCATAATGGGTTATGCATTCAAGCAAATGAATATAATTTCATTATTTAATTTTTCCAAAAAATGTACTTTGCATTGTTTACAAAAATTTATATAATTCCTTTAACTCTTGAATCTTTGAGGAATAAAAAATGTAAATGAATAAAAAATCACTTTGTTATTACCATAAAAATGTATTTGGCCTAAAAAATGCACAGACTGTTTAAATATCTAGATGGACTATGGACCCAGTTAATTCAAATGTTTAAAGTTCTAAAATACTTCAATAAATATAATTAATAATTTTAATGCTAGTATTAAATGATGACATCACAAACCGGTATAAAAATTTAAATTTATAAACTTAGTTTTGGTCTTTGTAATAAGACTTTATATTATAGAAAAACATAGGATAATTCCCTCTAAAGCATTAGCACTTCATCATATTTTAATATAATATTACAGCTTATCTAAATATAAGGCTTTGTAAATAAGACTCCCTAAATAAATAAAAACTAATTCTTTTTAGCATAAATTACTCAATTCTCAATCACTTTCAACAGGCTGCTTCATAAAAATGTATATCTGCATATAAACATACTTGTAAGACTGTATATTAATTCCATGGTAAAATTTTCCAACCATGACAAAAACTAAGTATGATATTGAAATTTCTCCCAAAAGATACAATCATTTCAAATTGTGTATCTGCACTAACTGAAGAATTTAAATGTAGATTTAAGGATTTAAGGAAAATCAATAATATGCTATTGCTCATAGAAAATACCTGCCACCTGAAATTGGCAATAACATCAGAACTGGCTGGTGTACTGGGGTCTTGGTGTACCGAGATTGACACACAGCTATTTGATGAATTTATTGACATGAAAAACAATATGCACCTAGAAGTTATTTCTAAAGAAAAGATGGAGGAAAAGGAATACACAGGATTTCAGAAAACAGTACCTGGATAATATAAATGTGCACAAATTTTGTTCAGATTATTTACATCAACATAGCTATGTGTATTGTCCTACTTAAAAACGAAGTAACGAATATATATATATAAAGTGGCTTACTTATTCTCATATGGATGATATTTCAATAGTAGCAGGCCGCAGTTACAAGCCTGATCTACATAAGATTATTAAAAAGGATTCATTATATCGATGTCTCATCACTTTTATTTATAATAAATAAACACTTAAGCTTATTTACATTTTTTCATAAATTTTTACCATTGTTGTATATGGCCTGTGAAAAAAGCAAATGTTGAGTATGACTGGCATATTTTATTTTTTAAAATGTCTAGCTATAAATAATATTTCTGAAGAATAGATGGAATACCAAAAAACATCAATCTGAATTTTTAAATTAAACAACATTCATTCTTAAACCAATTGTAGTTCAATGTATCTAAAGCTAAATAGATTAATTACATATGAAAAACCTTTTGCAGACTAATTATGAAAATTAATGATACTGAAAAGCTAAATTTAACTTTATTTTATATAATTCTGATTCTTAAATAATATCGTCATTAATTCAAGCATAATTTCATACTTAATTTAAAAGAGTAAAATGAATTTAATACTGTTAAATTGAATCATAAGTCTTACAACAGTTGCTCACATTTAAAAATATTATGCCCATAAAAGACCTTACCTAGCCTTTATTTTTTCAACTGTTCATCACAGACATACATTACTAATTACAAAAATGTTTTAACCCTTTGAGCGTTATAACCAGCTTTATCCAGTCATCAAAAGTTTTGCTACTTGGAATATATTAGCTTATAATTTAAGATATTGTGCTTTCTTACTTTCTTTAATAATATCATCTTAATGATAGCAAGTTTATAAAAATACAGATTAAAATAAGTAATTATACAAACTCAATTAATAAATGCTGTTTAAATACTGGTTTTCATACTGGATCTAAAATCATGTGCTGCTCAGAGGGTTAAATGGTGCAAATTTTCATGTTGCGGCATTTTAAAATAATGTTTTGTAAAAAATTACAAAATTTAACTTTTTACACACTCTCCCAGTTCTTATACTTGTATTTAAAAAAATGTTATACTCAAAAATAAATAAATAAATAAAATAATATAAAAAATAAAAAATTTGGCTCCCATACAACAAAAATTGATCAGGATATTCAGTTTGAAAACTCGTGATTTTTGACATCATTTTCAATTTGCATTGAGGGGTTAAATAATAAATAAATTAGAATAATTCAAGATTTTTTTTCCTCCCTTAAATGCCATTCTATGATATTCTTTTGTAAGTTACTAGTATCTTTGATTTATAATTTTATTATATTTGTATTCTGAAAGAATTTTCACACAAGTAATTTATAAACTTTCTAAAAATATATTATGCTCATGAAATTATATTACTATTTTAGAAGCGAGATGTGGTAATCATACAAAAAATTTCATTTCTTAATATCAAGAAACTTTTTCAAAGTTATACTTTATTTTTAGCTATGTATAAATGCAAGTACTTTGCTTTTCAATTTATATGTGTTCCCTGCATATGATCTCCCATTTTAACATCAAATATCTTGACCACTTTTTGAGACACCTTTTGTGTTTTACTTTTTATAACTAGTACAAATTTTCCTAAATTGGATCAGAAGCCTGGTATATAGAACAAAGGCACACATAAAAGTTAGATTTTGTAATTTTTACAAATTTCTTTAACTTTAAAATCCCAAAATACAAACATTTACATCATTTAAAAAAATTTTGTAACTGAAAGTATATGTCTACAACTACAGTTGCAAAAATAAAGGCCAGGTAGGGATTTCTATGGGCATAGTGTATATTTCTAAGTTAAAAACAATTTGCACAAAAAGTAAAGCCAGACAAAACACAATACTACTTATTTTAGTAAGTAAAAAATTGTAATATATGAACCTCGTGACCAGGAACCATCCAATACTGGAATTATCAGGTGATAAACGTAGGTAGGTTTTAATATGAGGTGAAGCTTCACTACGACCCAATTTTTCACTCTTCCATTGGCTGCAATCAATATAAAAATCATATTTAGTAAGATAAACTTCTTACTAAACAAGATAAATTTCTTAGGTTTGGAATTATGCATCAGTAATCCTAAAATTTAAGATGAGACCAAATTTTAAAATGACTCACTGCAGAAATCTTTTTAAATATGGTTGTTTCTGAGCAACTTTTATACTGTATGGTAATGATGCACCAGCTGGATAACCTTCCAAACTTTTTCGGACATTCTCTACACTGGGAAAAATCTATAAAAAGAGGAAAATGAATTATGAACATTAATTCATATAAGAAACAGTTTTATGTGAGAAAGCAGATCTCTGCCATATTGTTTAATCATAATGATATCATTAGGAAAAATTTTAGAAAACTTGAAAGAAATAAAGTTTTGTTTATCGCAGTATATTGTAAATGATATTACAAATCAGACATGATACAGATAAACTCACTGACCAGTTTTAATGATGAAGATTGGAGCACAACAGATGAGTTTTTTGTTGTGGCTAAACTTGTTATAAATTCAGAACACAGCCACTGATCAGGTGAAGCGCCTAGAGTGCCAATACTAGAAAACTGCCCTACTACAGACCAATCAGGTTTAACTATATCATTAGATGGCCCTTTGAGATTTAATACCTGAAATATATGATAAATATTCAAAATATATGTATAAAGGTAAATAAAAATACTTCATACAATTATTCACAAAAAAATTTAATTTGAATTCCTTCTCCCAAAAGATGCATGAATGTCAAATTTATCAACATAAAAATAAAAGATGTTGAATAAAGAGAGAAAATATCAAGGCTTAAAAATAAACTCTTTGACATATGTAAAATGTATTCTATGCTACACTGTTAACATAACACAAAAAATTATATATAAATTAAAAAGTGCTTCTAATCTTTAAACTTATCTATTTTTCTAAAGCTCTCAGCTCTCTGTTTCATTACACATTCATATGAACATGTCACAAATACATCACAATTTTTTTTATCAGAACTGAAAATTTTGGCATAATATAGAAATATATGATATGATGACTTGCTAATATTTCACTTTTTATCATCATGTTTTATATTTTACTAAATATGATTAGTGAAATTTAAATAAATTAGTTTCAAACAAAATAATCTGGGAGGGAAGGAAAGTAGAACACTGCACAATTTCATTACATACTTTTCTCAATTTTAAATGTCCAAATGATGTTTTCTTAGACCCCACATGGCGTCCAGGCACAGAACCAATAAGGAAAACTCTATTTTAAAAGAAAAAGAAAATGTGATCATTTCGGCTTTATAATCATCTGAGTATTTATCTTTTTATACTATAAGATAAAAGTACCTGTTATTATAATCTTTCTCAAAATGAAAATAAAATATTCACTTAATTAAATCATATTTTTAAACCAAAATATAAATATTAAGATAATTATTAAAATTAGCAGATATTTATGTATTTTACATTCAAATGTTTGAAAAAAATGCTCAGATCTGTATAACAAATGTAGTACAATTTCTAAACAGTCTTTGCCATATAGTTTAATTACACTATCTTTGGATCTTTGGATATGTTATACTATCTTTGGATTTCATATTGTCATTTCCATAATATTAATAAAAAATAGAGATACTTATAAAGTTTAATTTTCATTTTAATGCTATGAAACTGATGTATCTCTTTCAAGCAGAGTTTTAGTATTCAATCATTTTGTTCTTAGTTTGTTTTCTATTCAAACAATCTTTCAACTACAAGGCAACAAGAATTTTCTTGGTTTGTCTTTGTTACAATCATTTGTAACTTTGTTACAATCATGATGTCTTTGTTACAATCATGATGTCTTTGTTACAATCATTTTTAATTTTCATTTTAATGCTATGAAATTGATGTATTCAGATTAAATAAATAAACAGACAAATAAAATAATTTAGAAAACTTTAAAAAAAACTAATACCTGACGAATTTAAAAATTTACAAAAATATCACCTTACACATAATTTTATTTACTCTTACTTTAAGAACATAGTAGAAAATGCTGAGAACAAAATGACCGAGTACTAAAGCCCTGCTCGAAAGAGATAAATCAATTTCATAGCATTAAAATGAAAATTACAAATGATTGTAACTCAGACAAAAAAAGAAAATTGTTGTTGAAAAATTGTTTTAATTGAAAACAAACCAAGAACAAAATGATTGAATACTAAAATTCTGCTTGAAAGAGCTACATCAGTTTCAAAGGATTAAAATGAAAATTAAACTAAGTATCTCTATTTTTTTTAAATATTATGGAAATGAAAATATGAATTCCAAAGATACTTTAAATCTGAAAGTTTCCTTCTTTAAATATTTCACACACATCAAAAAATTATACACACCCAAAGGACTATCAACATAGAAAAATGAATAACAAACCACTGACAACTAATCACAATTAAAATGAAAAAAGAATATTGAATTGATAGAAAACACTTATTTAAACTGAAAATTAAATAAGTATAATAAATAAATAATCTTCAATTAAAAAAACTAAACACTTATTTAAACTGAAAATTAAAAACACCATTAAAATAAAGAATTATTTGATATTGTTTAGACACATGCAATGGCTAGATTATCTTAAACAATTATATAATTTACATTTACAACAGTAATATGACATTCAGATATGATTTTATTTATACAAATTTTAAGAAATACAATAATTTGCAACAGTATATTTGACAAGTACAGATGTTAGAAATAGATGCAGGCCCACCAGCGGCCGAGCGGTAAAGCTGCTGAATACTGGTAGTTTGGTCCGAGGTTCGAATCCCGTGAACAGGCTGGCTGCATGGGCGTTTTCGTGGTTTTCCCCATATGTAAAGTGTATACGAGCCAGTTTCCCTTAGAAAGTCCTCCACGAAGGCATCCTTCCCCTTAGGCAGATAGCCCTAGTGTGCTTTGCTATAATTAAATAAACCAAACCAAAACCAGAAATGGATGCAGAAGCACTGCAGGGGCACAGAATAATTTCTGCATGCACTCCTGATTAATAGAATTCAAAGACCAAAATTCTAAGTATTTTAATCTGCAATTTTGAACCTTGAAACAACTAAAAATATCTAACAGCTAGAAAAATTACAAATTATAAAACACAGATCTTAGTTTTACAACACTTACTTATAGATTTAATGCTAAGTTAAAAAAAGAAGAAACTGAGCAACAAGCATTTAAAATTAAATTTATCTTAACATTTGAAAATATATGTCTGGACCAGTAAAAAGACACAAAGAAAGAAATATTTCAAGCCAGCATTTCCTTCCATAAGAGCAGTCTGAAGAGACAAGGTGGACAAATTTCACCTTACAAAAAAAGCCTTAAAAATTACGGAAATTACAAAGGCTTTACAAAGTTGACAAATCTATGAGCTTTATTTAGTAAAAACTTTTCTATTTATTTCATTCTAGTACACAATTATGTATTTCATGTTAAAAATATTACATAAAAACAAAATTGCAAGGGGGGTAGCTAAAGAGCTAAACATAAATTGTTATGAAAATAATGAACCATAATAATATATACCATAATAATATTGTTAAAATCATGTATAATAGTTTCAGTACAGAATTAATACATGGAATTATGTATATCAATGTCTTGTACATTTTTTACCCAGTATCCCATAGAATTTTGTGTCATAAAAACAATACATGCATAATATATATAAAGATATAAAGTAAGAAATTAGAACTAATGTTTCACAAAAATGAAAATTTTGAAATTCATAATTAATAAATTTCAAATAATCTAATAAATGCAACAAAGAATTTAATAAATGTAAAAACCAAAACTTTTAAGCAATCAATACCGCAATCCCCCCAAAAAAAAAAAAAAAATCCTTAAAGAAATTAAAAAAGAACAATACACTTCAATGCTACTTCATCAGTGGATGCATTATACATGTTTCTTTGCTGCATTTCATTCAAGCTTATTTCCTCGAATTTTATTAGAAATCGATTTCTCATTCAACTACTTCGGTTCTCACTTCATGGCAAAAATACATAAAACTTCAAAATATCTTTATTAAAAATTGAAAAATATAAAACACCACGTACAATTAAAACAAAACAAAAAAATACAAGTAAAATTAGAGTTTCTATGCAAAAACAAGTAATTTGGCCAGCGGGCAAGAAGGCAGATTTTTCAGTGCACAAAACTGAAAGTTCCTTTTGGTCCCATTAGGCAAAAAGACACTGAAGGTGCAGAAACTGACTTAATTCACTATTCTGCTATGTTTCAAATGTAAACAAATATGGCTACTATGGTAAGCAAAAATTAGGCTTAGCTGTACTTAACCAACTTTTAAATTGTTGATAATTCTACAACTATTGCATGCAAAGTAACTAAAGGCATAAAAACCTTAACCAGAAGATACGAACAACATAATTCAATCATTTTTAAAACAAAAAATGCACAATTTACCAACATATAAGAATAAAAAAAACTGACCTCATTGAGCTGAGTAACAGATTAGGTATATATTTATATCCTTTTGGTGCAGCCAATTGCAACTAAAAAGGGAGGTGCATAACTACATGTTACAGCAGTCCTATACACAAAATTTCAACATTCTGAGGCTACTCGTTTTTGAGTTACAAGAGATACATACATCACAAAATCTCTTCTGAATCCATTTAAAATTTGTTTTGCAACCTATTTTGGGAAAAGGAGTCCTTTATTCTGTCCCTATATACAGATGTCATGTAAAAGCATCATTAAATTGCATTTAATAATGGTCAAAAGAGATATGTTCGGTGAAATATGATACCCCAAAATTTTCAGGGTTACAATACTTCCTTTACTTCGTAGGAGGAAGTTAAAAAAAAAACTGTTTTGAAGCACTAAAAAGAAATTCAAAACTGCAGAAGATCCCACAGAAAACTTTTTGCACAACTTGCCTTTAGATGACACAATATTGTTATTTAGATTTTAGAAAACAGACTTATCAAATTGGATTGTATATCCAATTTCTAAAATTTCTAAAATCTAAATAACAATCAACATGATTTCATCTAAAGGCAGAGCAAATTGTGCAAAACGTTTTCTGTGAGAGCTTCTGCAGTTTGTTTTTAGTACTTATCAAAGTGGTTTTTTTTTCAAATTCTTCGTATGAAGTAAAGGAATTACTGTAATTGCGAAAATTTTCGGGTACCATATTTCACCAAAAATATCCATTTAAATCACAATTAGGTCTGCTTTTGTAAATTCAATGAAAAATAAGACAGACTGATTGGTTATTGATAAAATATTACAAATTGTATGTATTTAATAATAATTTTGAATGATAGTTTCAGTAATAATAGACTTCTAGGAAACAAATCTATTTAAAAACTCTTTAACACTTCTCCAGCTTCAAACTTCATACAGTCAACTTAAAAAGTCAGAAAAGTAAAATAAATAAATAAATAAATAATGCTGCCATACAGGAAAAAATAAACACTTTCTCTACCATAATATATTACTTTTAACTCAATACATGCATTAAAATAATTTTTATTATACATTGAAAAATATTAATAACAAATTGCATATCACTGGCTGTTTCAATGTTTAAAAATTAATACATGTAGTCATTACCATAATAATATATTACTTCTAAATCAATACATACATTAAAACAATTTTTATTCTAAAATTTAAAAAAAAAAAAAAAAAAAAAAAACATTTTTTTAATTGCCTGTCAATGGGTGTTTCAGTCTTTAATAATTGATATGACATTCTTATGCTAAATGTTTTTAATGCAACACATGTTTAATATAGGCTTTTTATATTTGTCTACAGTGATATTGTGAAAGAAATCTACAATAATCTACTTAGGAATGATGATTCTGGGCATGCTTCACTTTCAAGTAGATTGTGATAAATCAAATTTTTGGACAATAATTACATAAAATTAGCAGTGCAATCACCTTATGTTTGGTGTACAGTTGTTGCACTGTTAATTTTATGTTTCACTTTGGCGAGTTTCTCTTCTGGTTTGAATAATTACATATTTAAAAATGCACATTACATGTTTTTCCATCTTCCCTATAGTAACAATGATGTCAGTTCTCCCCATTAAGGGAAAGAATGATAAATTTTAAAATAAAATATTTAGATAAAAATTAATTTTTAGTATACGTTATATAAAAATAATAATAAATTTTAAAACTTTGAAAAGTTAAAAAACATTTTCTCCAATAAGTAACAGGGAAATTATACTATTATTGTTTAGCAATTTCTTGATTGTTTAATAAATTATCTGAAATTTTATGTAGTATGCTTATGATTCATGTAGTACGTAGAATGCTATTTGCTTAAAACTGATATTGTACTAAAGTTGACAGATGTGACATATTTTTTAACAAGTTAGTACAATTACAAAACAAAGTATAATGTGAAATTACATATTACTTTATTTTTGAAAAATCATGCTTCTTAATTACTTCATGCCATTCATCTAACTCAGAAGAAAAATATGCTGACACATATTCAAGAAGGTCAGTTTTAAAATTAGTGGGTGACTCTCCCTCAGTTGGTGAAGGACATTCTAATTGAGGAAGCAAAGGGCTAACCCATATTCTATAAAGAATAGAAAAAAAATTATAATTATTTAAAATGTTTTATGTTATGAAAACAACTAATATTACAGTTTAAAATCCAAGCAATAATGATATTATTTTTTTAAAATGTGGAATTATTCTTCTCATGCAATTTAATAGTATTTTCAATCAAAAGATCACTGAATCAATTTTACTTCTTGCTGTTACTCTAAGAAATAAATAAACATACCCCTGAGTCTTTTGAGACCAATCACTCTCAACGATGTTTGAAGTATGAATGACAACTCGGAAACCTTCTTTATACAGCAAAAACATCATCTTTCTATAAGTAAAAAGAAAAATTGTACTTAAAATGAATTATATTACAAACAAATATATGACATTTCCCTTACTAGTCTGATAGGAAATTTTATTAAAATATTTTCTTTTGTGAATGTATTTTGCAAAGTATAATCTGATAAAATATCATTATTACCAGTAATAGTACAATAAAGAGTGTCACACCAATACATCACAGTGTCTATCTGTCAGCAGCATGATTCATCACAGTGATAATTCCTCACATCATAATTTAGAATATATTTATTTTACTGAAGTTCAATTACGCTAATAAAAGTTCCTCTAGTGATGAGGATAGAGCCACCCTCACTCAATGAATGTGTTCTTAAAATCCCATTAAAAAACAGAACATTTAGTAAGCTACTTTTATCATTAGTAAATAATTAAAAATAATTATGAAAAACTTCCTGTGTCACAAAAATAATATAAAACAAACAATAAAGTAAGTAATTATAAAAATTTCCTTAAGATTAATTTCCTTTAATTAAGATGTAAAAAAACCCCATTGTTCAGTTGTCATATAAATTCTCATGCCTCTTCTTATGCAGATAGCTCTTGTAGCTCCTTAATCAAATAATCCAATGTAGTCTGTGAAAATCATAAATAAAAAATATTTATTTGTTGAAAGCAAGGCTTATTTCTCATGTACTCCTGATGTCTATATCTAGAATAAAATCTAGTGGTTATAATAAAAATTTGTAGTACCATATAAATTGCATATCTCTGTACATTTCTGTTTCTAATTTAGTTCAATCAATAACATACTGTCTTATTATTTTACTGTTTAAGGCATTTTAAATTTAAAAAATTCAAAACAAATAAAGCTAAGTTTATTCAACAAAGAACATTTAACTTCATATGGTGGGATGGTAGAAATTATTTGTACCTAAGAAGAAAGGTGAAATATTTACTTCTATGAAAAATGAAGCTAGTTTATTTATATATTCCAGGATGCTTCCCACATCAAGGTTTAGGCTGGAGATGCAGACAATGATAATCTCAGTGCATATCCTAATGAACAGCAAAAGCCTTGTGCAGGTGAAATATTTACTTTCTATGAAAAATGAAGCTAGTTTATTTATATATTTCAGGATGCTTCCCATATCAAGGTTTAGGCTGGAAATGCAGACAATGATAATCTCAGTGCATATCCTAATGAACAGCAAAAGCCTTGTGCACTCTTGAAAAAGAGCCTATAAATCAGTATCTTGAACAAACACCTTAGCTATAAAACACACAATATTAATCTAGAAAACAGTTTTTCTTATGTAAGTACACTTATGATTTAAAATAGATGCATCAATTTTTTACAATGTTATTAATTATTAACTGTTTTAGTATCAGTGTCTTTGCTGTTTTCCTGTCCAAAAGTGCCAAGGACTGCTTTTTTGCTTGTCTTACTCTCCGATTTAAAATGCCAAGGAACACTATTGTGCTGTTTCCTGCTCTTATATGGTAAATTGCAATTCTTTCAATATAGTGTTGTTCTAACATCCTCCTTATCATAAATACAGATATCAGCATCTTTAAATAATATAAAAATACTGTGGCTTCACAGCTTAGAGCACTGGCACTTTTCGAGCAATACAGAAGCACAAAAAAATTGCTCCTTGGCACTCAAATGGTTAAGTTATGGTACCATCACATCAAAAGTGAAAGTTGGCTACAATTCAAACCACAAAAGTTGGAGAAGATTCTCCCAAAGTTGCACAAGTCATTCCTGCAGAATTCTGAGCCATGCTTCTGTCTGCAACTCTTACAACTAAACATTTGTCCTCTGTACACTCTACCAAACAGCCACTGCTGAGAAAATATTCGATCGATTTTGATTTTGCATTTTGCAAAAAAGCTTTCATCAATATCTACTATTTTGTTAGGCCCTCTGATTTTACTACAATTCTGTTTAGAATGTTATGAGTACAAACTTCTCGCAGATAACTATTTTACTCACTTACCATTTAATCGGCCTTATCCAGCTATTTTCTCTTCCTTCAGAAGATATTAATTATTTCGATCAGCTGTAAATTAACCAAGTACAGTCACAAATGTGATTTCATAGGCCTCGAACTCATTTCTTTCAGCAATAACACTGAATATAGATCTTCGTTCTTAAAATAAAACTTATTAAAAGTCAGAGTTATGTCAAAGAAAACAGCAGTTATTAAGAGTATATTGTCATGTCATGTTTGTCCACAACTGCACTACACTGTGCTGCTTAGCGACAGTTCCACAGTTCACAGGATAATACATAAGTACCAAATTTACTTTTAATTTATAAGCTTAAAAACAGAAAATTAATATTAGTTAATAATTGTCATTCAATTAGCTATGCATGAAATTAAATGCAAATTTAGTTCTGAAAACTGCTCTCAAGTAATATTATTTTACCAATATCAAGAAATTTGTTATTTTATTACACAGTCTCAAAATCTGTACACGATAAATATTGCATGTGATAAGGTAACCACAAATCTTAAAATTTAGAAATGTATGAATTCTTACGTATGATGAGTGCCAAATGGAATGTCCAGCTTTGCCTAAAAAAGTAAAATCAAAAATAAAATCAGCTTGGAAATATATTGTCATTTATTAGTATTACAGTCAAAAGTCTTTAATCCGGACCCTCAAAGCTACAAACTTTCTGCGCATGCGTCAACGCATAATGCGTTAACGCATGCGCATAATACCTTTACACATGCGCATATGCGTCTACACACGTGCATAATACCTTTACACATGCGCATATGCGTCTACACATGCGCATAATACGTTTACGCATGCACATTTTCATGTATAACGGACGATATAAGCTAAGCTAAAATTATCTAATTATCTATTCCAGTTAATGTTGCAGATTACATCTTCTAATTGGATCTTAATCTTAATCTTCTAATTGGATCCAGTTTATTATTTTTTGAAGACTGTTAGAGCAATTTTATAAAAGTAAGCTTGAACTTTCAATTATGTCAAAAAGAATTTCCAATTCTGGAGCTACCAAAGGATCTACAAAGCGAAAGCATGTTTCAAACAAAAAGTGGAATTGGAAAAAATGGATAAAGGCATATCCTTTGATTCTCTAATCATTCCGAAATATGTTTATCAATTTCACGCTGCTCAGCGAAGGGGGGGGGGGGACGTCGCGGCGCGCAATGAACTGGAAGTTGATCTGTCAGCACTATCCTTCCGGGCAGATGTTTCTATTTTATTAGGCTTATAATTCCTTACTAAATGTAGTATTTCATGTTGATGTGCTCTGTCTTTGATATGATTTAAATCAAATTCCTCGTCATTATAAATATCACGAATACACATCAAATATTTTTCTGGTTGCAATTTTCTAATTTCGACTATGCGTAATGCATGCTTTACGCATGCACGCGTTGAAAGAAATGTTTAATAAAGTAAACAAATAAATATAAAGCTTTTTTTTTTTTTTTTTTTTTTTTTGCAAATTTTGATACCCTTTAGATCATAATTGCTCTTTATTTCATAAATTACGGTTTCATATTTTTAATTTTATAATTTCTGCATGCCGTCTTAACAGATTTAAACTGATGATCTATAATCCGGAAAAACCGATAATCCGGAATCGCTGAAGTCCCGACGAGTCTGGATTAAAGACTTTTGACTCTACTAAAAAAGGACAATATAGTTCCAAATACATCATATTTTATTACAATTTCAAATTGAACAAATATTTTATTTAATTTATTTTTGGCTTTAATAACCACAGAAATGTATTATAAATATTAGTTCTAATAAGAAGTTTTTAAAAATAATAATCTTTAGCAAAAATACACCAATGAAGAAAAGAAAAAATTTTGATAGTTTTTACATAAATATATAATTTACATCTCATAATTTATACATCCTGTATTTGATTCCTGCATTTAATATTGTAAAATTGCATTTCATCCCAACAGTTTTTACAAACAAATAATTTTCTCCAAATTTTTTCTTTAAAATAAATTAAAATTTCCATATATCTTTGCAACTACATTAAAATCAAAATTTGTAAAAATATAATCAATTAACTGAATTAAACGAAACAAACTTACTTAATTTATAAATATCTCACATATATGAAAATAAAGAATAGTGAAATTTAATGAGTTCTGTGACTCTGTGGAAACAGATTACCAAAAAAAAAAAAAAAAAAGTCTTGTAACAACTTAGGTTTCCTTAGTTTGTTACCCTATCAAAAATTCTTTCCATTTTTGATGGCCTAAAATCATACTTCTGACCTTGTGACAAATGCCCAAAATTATAATTTTTTTTTTTTTTTTTGAAAATCTAGAATAAAAACTCTTTTTAAAATTTTTACATGGTACTCTAAAGTTATTTAACAACGTAGTTCTGAAATTGGAAAATAATTCTATCACAACAACAGAAGCATTTCAGACATATTCTGCATTAATTTATCAACTTTAGAAAAGAAAAATCCCATAAATTTACACCATCTTCTGCCAAAGAACTGCTATACACTCTAAAAGAAAATAATGATGTTCAGGAACAAAAATTCTTAAGCATAGACAATTTTTATGATTCTAAAATCTAACACTTAGAGTTGTGGATAGCTAATTTTGATAAAGTTAGCAAGTTTCAGTACATATATATGTAATGTTTTCAGTTATTCCAACACATCGTGGGTGAATGGTGAGGCTATTCCATTTCACGTTTTGGCAGATGGTTGACGAAGCTGGGATGATTGCACCACGGAGAAAAATGACGACTCAGGACTTTTTACCTTTAACAGCAGATCTTTATTTTATTTTACAGCAGATGATTTTTTTCCAGATGAAGTTACTCAAATAACTTATTCAGTAATTGAATTATTAGATACGAGCATACTGTAGAGGTTGGTATTGCACTTGTTGATAATTAAAAGGTCTCACACTACGAAAACTTTGATAAGGAGTGGCTTGCACTGGTCTGGGATAATAGCACCTCGGAACAGTTTGCCTTGGAGAAACAAATTGGTAATTACTATTTCCTAAACCATCCAACGGCATCTGAACTGGAAACAGTTTCCTAGCAAGAGTAATCCAGTCTTTCGGTGTTGCTATTTTTTGCACTGTTAACAGCATTCTTTGAGACTCAGGAAGTCCTTTCCGTAAGTGCTTGCTTCCACCATTGTGGAATCTGTTAGTTTCAAGCTGGCTCCTAATTTCAACTTATTATGAAAATAAACATCAATATTATTAAATTTCTCGTATTTTAAAGACACAAAATCACTAAAAGTAACAGATTCTGATGTTGTGAAGTATGTCTCGAAAATATCCTTTATGTTGTTCCAGTCTTTATTTAAACAATCACGTAAATAGAGGGCTAAAGCCTCTCCTCTAATGCACTCTGAGAAAACAAATTTCTTTTCCTTTTCTGGAATGTTCTTTGCGGCACATTTCTCTTCAAACAATAGAAGATATTTGTCTATTGGAAAATTTTTACTTGTGCCGTCAAAAATAGGGAATTGAAATTTCACTGTATCCACAATAGCTACGGATTCTTGCTTATCAGTTGACATTTTTGCCGTTTTTGAGCGTGTTAGCATTCCAATCACAAAATCTTAATTTAAGAGTTTGCATACACATCAATTTGAACACTAAAATCAATCACTTTAGAAGCACTTGATAAAACGCATAACTTTGGAGGCGAGGTAAAACACTTAAGCATCGCTGGAAAAGAAGCAAAAGCATAAGACGATCACACACTGTCCTTGACCCACTGTTGAATTTAGAAGCGCGTTAGAAATAAATCCAGGAGCTTTTTTCCCATGTTTTATTTTACAACAGATGACTTTTTTTCAGATGAAGTTACTCAAATAACTTATTCAGTAATTGAATTATTAGATACGACTGACTTTAATACGTTATAACGTTCTAACAAAGAAAGAGGAGCATAGCGGAGGCGTTAGCAGAACAAAGACGAGAAGGCATCTGTGTAGGAGAACTTATGACGCAGCATTTATATGAAAGGTTATGTAACAGAGTAGCTTCTAGAAAAATGTAGAAAAACTTATGATGCAGCATTTATATGAAGAGGTTATGTAATAGGCGCGGTTGTTCTAGAAGGTACTGGTCTAGGGGAAGATCCTGAATTGCAGAAAATTAATTAAAGGTTGCTGGTTCGCAAAGAGCAAAGCCATCGTATTTTTTTTATCTGCATTTTGCCTGGTCTGATTTAGATGACAGTGCACAAGTTGTTAATAAAATTATAAAAGATTCCATAAATACTGATAACCTATTTAATGAACATACATTGCTGAGCCATGTAATTCAAAACCAAAGGGTGGGTTATGGTTTAGGTTCTGAAAAAGTACCAGATACTATTGAAGAGAAGCAGGAAGCAATGTTTAATGTGTTTCAAATGTTGCAATATTTCTAAAATGATTGAGTTTGTGATGTCTTTGTCCAAAACATCTGCTTCAGTTGAGAGTTTTTTGAATTATGGGGAATATCTGGCCTAAAGAAAGGGGTAGACTTTCAGTATCTACAGTTAAACATCTGCTCAATGTTAAAATTAATTCAGAACTTTCTTTTGTGAATTTTATGATGTAATTAAAACAAACAAACTATTTCTGAAAAAGTCATGTCTAGTAAAAATTAATAACTGAATAAATAAAATTTAATCTTTCAGTAAACTGTTAACTCTTTTAAGTAATTTTAAAATATGTCTTAGGTTGGATTAAAAAAATATGGTACGCCTGCATAAAATAGAAACCATGAGTAGCTTCTAATTTTTAAATTATTCAAGCTAGTTGTTTAATCAATAGTTCCCTGAATGTAGTATTTCTAAAAGCAAATTTAAAAAAAAAATTGCAATCTAAAAACTTCAGGTTAGGGTTTAACACCTCAAAGTTTAACAAAATTCAATCAAAGGTATAAAAATAACCTTAAATAAAAATTGAATATATGGCTATAGTGTGGTATGGAGAATGCAATTGAACATCTGAAACTATTCAAATTATGCAGTTTAAATAGGCCTACAAGTTTAAGAATCAGTCTTTAGAAAATAAAAAATATAGAACTTAAAATCTGACACTTATGACAAAGCCAAATGACTGAAAAAAAATATTTGCTATAACATTATTTCACATTAAATAAAGGCAAATGGATACTTGTGCACATATTTAATAATGCAAATACTTAATAATTTAAGATATACTGCATTATTAATTTCATTGGATCGCTTGTCCATGATGCTTACAACAAATATTTTCTTCAAGGTCAATATTTTTCCTTTTACCAATACATAGAATCTGTCAGCTGAAAACTATACACACCTCAAAGAGTTTTCCTATCAGGTGCTTACCATTTTCAATTTGTAGCTGTGAACACTTTAAGGCATTTGACATTTTCACTTACATGGTTTGTAATTGCTACATAAAAATTAATTACCATACTGGCATAAAAACATTATATTCTGTATTTTTGGAGAGATGTGATATGAAAAATTTTGGAACCTTGCATGTACAATAGCCTCTCACACATGAATATGATACTTTGAAGATGTTTTATAAGAAGAAAAAAATTAAATATCTGAATATCATATTTGGGAGAAAACTAAATAAGTTTTCTGTTTTAAAAGTGAAAATTTTATTTTAAAGTTAATACATTTAAACAATAAACTGCAAATGCAAGATAGGTGCTTCAAAACAGCTTTTTAGAGGAAAAAAAATAAAACATCATCTCTTATTTGCATTATTTTATGATACATAAAAATCTAAATTGAAATAAAGTTATATACGAGTTTCATTCCTGAAAATAGTGATACTGTAACTAATAAAAATAATCTTACTGATAAATGCATAATGCAGATTATTGTTAATTTGATAATCATAAAAGGAAAAAATATTTAAACAATATTTATGATGCTTTAAAAAAACATTCAACTTACCTGACAAAATTTAATATTAGAGTAATCAGCTGCAGATCTCTCTAAAGATTTTTTTGCTTCCCGCTGCTCTCCATGCACAATAGTCAAAGGGCAATTCCTGTAAGTATGTAATATATATATATATATATAGAAAGAGAGAGCCTTTTAGGGGAAAAAAGTCTTCTAGTTACAAATTAGATATATATATATAAATAGAATTATAAGAAAAATAGAAAAAATTGTAATATAACATCTTACACAGAAGCACCATTGAATTTGGGACAGATGGTGTTATGCAAGTATCGGGGAACGGCAACCTCATTTCTGGGCATGTGAGAATGCTGCCATAAGATGTATATACCTCAAAATGTAACACTCTATAAGCCATTGTCAAAAGTAATATGATGTGTAAAATTCACAATTTAGAGACTTTCAATCAAGGCCAAATAGCAGGTGTTTGACCCATAAGTCATTCAACATTAGAAATAATTCTAGAGTCAATATTTTCTAGTTTCACAATATCAAGATAATGACAAGATACACTAATAGCAGAAAAAAAAAAAAAAGTACAGTCATGCAAACTGCAAGGAATATGCAGCCTTGAATAATCATAACCTTCAAAGACTCAGCAGTATTGAACAAAATCAACACCTAGCTCCAGTGAGAATAAAGGGCCCAACCAGACAGTCAGTAGACAGTGCAGCTTCACCTGTGGGTTTTTAGAAGCTGAAGACCCACTAAGAGTACCATTTCTCACAACAAACTACTATGCTCAATGTCTTACATGGGTCATGAGACCCTGTTACTGGACCATCGACAACTGGAGGGAAGTAGCATGGAGTAATGAGTCTTGATTCCCAGTGCATCACGGAAATGATAGTCTAAGAATATGGTGCCAGCTCATGAAGCTATGGATATAGTGTGTCAGGCCGGAACTGTACAAGGTGATGGCAGCTCAAGATGGTCTAGGAATGGTTTTTTTTTTTTTTTTTTTTTTTTTTTTTTACCAACGCTTGAGATCTTTGATACTTGTACCAAGCACCCCACTGCATTTAAGTACATAGATCTACTGAGTGATCACTTATAACCCTTCGCGATCACTTACATTCCTTCTGCCAGTCAGACAAAAACGGAATACATGCCTAAGAAAGTTGTTCCTATTACAGATACTAGTAGATTACAACCTAGTTTGAGGAGCATTTTACTGAATTCTTCCAGCTAAAATAGTCATTGAGAAGCCCAGATGTAAATTCCACTAAACACCTTTTGGGATACTCTGGGAAATGCTAGGATGGCAATCAGCATCTGTAACAGATTACAGGAAATTTTAGAAGACATTTTGCAGGCCATACCTCTGAAACACTTCCACAGATTTGCTCAATACTAGCCACAAGGTAGGCAGACATTACAATGGCCAAAGGAGCAGCAAGTTGTTATACGAGGGCTATCCAGAAAGTAGATTACGTTTTGGAATAAAAAAATAAACAAAGTATAGGAAACAAATTTTATTATATACAGATGAAAGCCACACTCAAATACTACTTTTCTACATAGTCACCATACAAATTAAGGCATTTATCGTAGCGATGTACGAGCTTGGAAATTCCTTCGTCGAAAAATTCGGCCGCCTGCGCCTTCAACCACTTTGTTACCTCTTCTTGCCTTCCATCTTGCACAAAACTTGTGGTAACCAAGCTTTTCGCTGATGATTTCGTGCAACAAACTTCGCGAAATTTGTGGAAAACTCAAAGAAAGTTCCGTTATTGTGAAATTTCGATTTCACGGACTTTAGCATCGACTTTTTCGAGAAGTTCGGCGGTCACTATGCTGGGTCTCCCACTTCGATCTTCGTCGTGAACATTGGTTTCGGCCATTTTGAAATCTTATGACCCACTGACGCACTCCACCTTCAGTGATAATGTTGTCCCCATACACTTCACGAAGCTGCTGCCGATAGATTTCTATCGGTTTACAGTTTTTTGCAGTCAGAAACCTTATTACTGAGCGCACCTCGCAGCTCGCGGGATTTTCAATTAACGCAGACATTTCAAACCGTCACAGTATCTGAACGGAGCACAGCACGAACCTCTCACTAGCACGGCTAGATGCAGACTGAGCTGCGCAATGCTCTGACCCCAAGATGGCCGCGCTAGCCCCGCCCCTAGCGGACACAGACGGAAACGTAATCTACTTCCTGGATGGCCCTCGTAAATCGGGTATCCCTTATTTAATGACACTTCAATATACTTTTACACACAGTACTAAAAATAAACAAATATAATAAATAACCACATAACTTAACATGAAATACATTACCTATATTGTTCTGGATACTGCTGCATCAGCCATGATATATCAAACATATAATTGAACTGAAAATATAAAACAATGAATCAGCTTCTTAATATCTGAAAATTTTTTTTTTACTCTGATAAATGCCCATATACTAGATATACATTAAAGATACACATATATGTAAGATAAAAAATAAAATTCAATTTTAGATCTCTTAATCTCATTTGTGAGTAAGAAATTCTCTCTCTCAAGTTTCATCTGCTTTTATCACATAACATGCTCTGTTTCACATCAGCCTAAATTTAGTGCAAAATCATTATTTAGCAATCTCTTACACAAAGCATTTCTAATTGCAGCACACTTTTTGACCCTTTGTTCTTCAGTCATGGGAAACATATGAAAAAACCTTATTAGCACTTAAGGTGTCAAATCCTCATCCAACCTCGCATGTGCTAACATCATTAATAGCCAGCATTATAATTTGTTGTTAATAACATATCTAGAGAGAAAAATTGAAAATCATTTAGTCATTTGCTAATTACTTTGCTTTTCAATAGAAATTTCAATAGATTCTAATACTTGCTTTTGCTTAGTAAACTTGTTGCAGTCTACCAGGTGTAAAATTTGAAATAAATATATGCTTCTTCTCCCTCTCATGCTAATTCAATGTGATTATAATAAATGAAAATTTCAGAATAGCCTGGGGGAGCTTCCATCAACAAGTATCAGCATCCTTATCAAATTAAACTCGCGTTGCACTACACTGCATTAGATATAACACATACAAAGAGAAAGAAAGAAAAAGCAAAAAGTATAAACTAATGCTATGGGTCACTAAAAGACTATTGGTTCATGACAGCCATACACTTGCAAATATCGACAGGTATGTTTCCCTAAAACTAAAATAACAAGTCACTCAACAAAAGATTACGTTTTTGATTGTCACTCAAGATTATAATTTACTACTTAATAGCCTTTTTATTCTTACTTTTACAAACCTAATCCTTTACTAAATAAACAGGAACTGACATTTTTATTTTTGATACTTATCCTTGGATTATATAGTAAAGGTGCAATAGATTTCATTGCTCCATCATATCTTGAAGATTAAGCTAATAAGGAAGGTCTATCAATTTTCAACTTTCAAAACTTTTGAAAATTATATATATGAATCTACTTATCTAAAAATATAGTGCACAAAATAGCTGCTTGAAATTCTATATATAATCAAATAAAAATATGTAAATTCATAATGCTATTTGGTGTTTCAGCATTACTTTGTGATTTTTCCCAAGTTTCAAAACATTGTTTTGCAAATCTTTAGATGATCAATGTGAAATGAAAACAAAATAACATGTGAATAAATATACACAGAGCCTTAAATTTTATGCATTTATTTATATATGATTTTCATTTGTTTGCATTTTATTTACTCCCTCTATCCCAAAATACGTTACACATTTAGAATTGGCATTAATCCGAAATTATGGTATACATTTATAACTGCATAAGTCTTAAATGGATAAATGAGGTTTAATTGATGTGGAATCTAGCCTTTCCCACATCCTTTCATAAACATACTAAACCTAACTGTTAATCAAAGATAAGGAACTTCCTTAACTTAACTGTTCAGAATAATCTTTATGTTACCATCTACTAGGATAGAATAAAGTTCTCTTTCCACTTCCATGGCCAAACTCACTTTTTTTTCACTGGCAGATCCTGCATTACAACTTTCCCATCACACTACATAACTTCATTGATGCTTTTGATACAGACATCAAATGCGAGTCAATTATATCTTAGTTGTTTGACTAGCATATGAATTTACATATTACATACACTTGATTATAATTCCTTTCTTGTTCTTTACTTGCTCTCATTAATCATTACAACTTTTTAAAATGTATATACCCTATTTTTGACAGAGGGAGTATTACAGTTAATTAGCAATGTATTTGTTTTCACTCAATGTTTGTTCACATATTTACAACAATTAATACATAAAGCTATGTGAGCATGATTTAGTGAAGTTCTGAAAAACATCTTTTTATAGAATGCCTTGAACTATGCAAATAATATATATTTCATGTGATAGTCAGTATACTGAATATGAATGATTGAGTACAAAGCAAAAATAAGGTATACTGAAAAAATGTTCAAAACAATAATATATTTTAAAATTTAGCAAATGCATCAGACAGAATCATAATAAACTTGTTTAAAAAACTTTAAAAAATTAACTGCAGCTAAAATCTGCTTTTATGCAAACATATATAAATAACTAATAAGGAATCACCAGTGCAAGTAAAATATAAACAGTTTAATTAATTTATTTTAAAGCATAGATTGTAAATTTAGTGAAATACTGGAGAAGAAAGGCAATAAAATTATTTGCATCAATCACAATATTATAAACTGATCATAAGGTATGCAATATGTATATGTAAAAAGAAAGGACTTTGCAATATTGATGTGTATAATGTAGACGGTCGAATCTGTGATGAACAGCGAAAAATTTGATGTCATAGAATGCTAAAATATTGATCCACGATAAATAGGAAACTGGTAACCGAAGCAGATAAAATCTTTATTTTATTTTGGTAACCCTGTTGTGGCCACAGATAACTTGATAAATTATTTGTGCCTGTTACAAGAGATTTACATATTTTATAACTTTGCAGTAAGAAGGAAGCAGCAGATAACAATCCAGCTAGGCTGAAGAGTAGTGAGCGAGTGTGTTATGTTCAGGATGAAATCTTAGCTCAGACTGAGCTAGTTTTGGTTCTCATTGTATTTTGAATAGATAATTAATACTGCTGTAAAATAATTATTGGCTGTTTTAGTTCCACTTAAGCCGTCAGAATCATGTAAGAGTCATATGACACGGATTAGTCTCGAAATGAAGCAGAGCAAAGAGAGATTATTGTTTTTAAAATATGGAAGGGAAATTAATTTACACTGCTAATTCAAATTATAATTTATCTTTTTTACATATTTTTTTCTTACATTTATATATATTTTCATTCCTACCTTTTTTTTTTTTTTCTTTTTTTGGCAGGTACTTATTAACCCTTTGACTAATAATGAGACATATATATCTTACTAAAAGTTTAAAAATTACTGCTGGGTTAAAAAAAAGTACTTAGAATCTTCTAAATGACGGGGATTATCTTCCAATAGTTGGAAAATGAAAACGCTGCTGTGCTTGTTGTTCTTAAATCAACATAGAGAAAAGAACAAATATGAGTTGCCCGATGTGTAATGTTGGGTTATGCAAAGAATGCTTTATCTTATACCATACGATGTAAAATCTATTCCATATAATAAAGTTTTCCAGAATAATAGGTGTGCTTATAGTAAGTCAATCGCTATGTATGGGACATATGTATCACACCATAAACTAGAGATGGGACATATGTGTGTCAGCCTTTAGCTTAAAAACTATTTGTCAAAAAAATCACAAATGCTAAATTTACCTTTTTATGACATATTTTGTTCACCTGGATAGAAAACAAGATAATTTTTTGTTTTTTAAATTCAAAGTACACAACATTAAAAAATTATCTGCAAAATCAATATAAATTGATGATTGAAAACAAATCTATGCAATTAATTCCATTTGGCAGTATAGCATTCTTTTGGAAGCTTTCAAAAAGATACCAAATTTTGTCAATTATTTAGATGACAAAAAACTGCATATTTAATAATCTTTTTTTCTAAGTTATAGAGTGGTCCCCCCTTTTACTAGAGTTTAACACACCTTTCTTGTAAGATGTCAAAATTCTTTATTTTCATACGCACCATAAACATATGTATGATGCAGCCCACAAGAAATTATAATCATTATCCTATTAATACTGGAAATTACTTACTACAAAACTTACTTGTACTTATTTCAAGAAATTTATGATTAATTTATACCATTTTATTTTAAATTTTATTATATTTACATATGTCACATTTGTTAGCATACATGATTTCATATAACATTAGCAGGTCTCAGGAAAAAATGCCCACAAATAAAGACATACAGTTTAATCATTATTTAAATTCTTTTCAATTGCAAACAAATTTAAAGTTTTTCATACAAATTAAAACAATATACAGATTTAATGAAGAAACACAAAGAAAACTAGAACTCTTGCAGAATCACATATATGCTGTATAAACTGAACAAAATTTTATACATATACTTATGAAAAGCTGATCAGTTGAAATTTAAACCAATCTACTATCATTGTAATAATGAATGAAATTTCCATCTTTAATTTATATTTTTCGAAATAATAGAAAATTGATCAAAGCTTGCCTATCATTACAAGATTATTATAGCTTCAATTTCTCTAATCATGATAATGAGCATTGGCTTAGATTGTACTTTTTTATCATAACTAAGCACACTAGTGCTATCTGCATAAGAGCCTTCATGAAGAATTTTTTAAAAGCAGCTAGCTCATATTTACATCACAGACGGGGAAAACCATGAAAATGGTCATGCAATCACAAACAGATTGAAGTCAACTACCAGTGCTCAGCAGTCATTCACTTGGCCTCTAGTACACAAGGGGCAAAATGATAAATATATCTTTTAAGCATTCTTTAAATATGAAATAATTTTAAGAGTTGATTCAAAATAACTGAGAAAATTTGTTCTACAAACAATAATATAAATCAAATTCAAAATGCTTTAATTTTATACTATCTTGCTAAATTATGCTTAAAATAATATATTGTGATATTTACTGACCTGGGCAGAGGAAAGTAGTGTTCCATCCTTAAAAGATAACAGATCTACAATAAAAAAATAATAATAATACATTACTGTTCAACTTTTATTTATTACATTTATTTTTAAAATGAATATTGAGTAAATACTTCAGCCTCCCCTGACTGTAAAAATGTTGATAACAATAATGTAAATCTTTTTTCTCGTTTAATTCCTTATGCTTCTTTTTATCATTATTTATGAACAGAACAAAACCTATCAGCCATAAAAGAGATGTCTTTCACTAATTCACAAAGTTGCCAACTTATTAGCAACTTTGTGAACTTTTTACATGCAGACCACCAGAAAGTACCAACTAAATTTTGAACACTAAATTATAATGACATGAAATCAAAATTTAAACATTAATAAAAAATTGAATCATAATAATAAAGTTAACAGTAATAAGCTTATAGTAACATTAATAAAGTTAATAGTAAACTTCTAAAATTCACCCATATCTTGCAAGGACAAAATCAGTATTTATGAAGGAATTAGAATTACTCTTATATTTCCAAATAATCATTACTAAGAGAAACTTTTTAAATTTTTAATCATCATTTTCATTTTGCATGCATTGATCATATCAGATAGAGAGGAAGAAGCATGTAAGTTGGATAAAAATCTCCTCTTGGCATTAGTATGAATATCATGTTTACTATTTTATACAAGAAAGATTAATCTAGCTCTTGTATAAGATAAACAATAATACCCCCTCTTTTTTTGCATTAAAATATGATGGCTTTTATTAAAATATGATAGCTTTTTTTCTAAGAAAGGATTGGTGGCCTCAAAATTAACTATTCTAGATTTTATGTTCCCTCTAAATTCCTCAGTTCTCCTAAATTCAATATATTTCCAAATTACATAATGCTGCTTGAAAAAGGTAACTAAAACCTAAAATTAAACAGTCACATCTTGGCTATACTTTATGCACTTACATAGCATAAATACTGCTTCACAAGCAACTATGTCATTCTTTTCCTTAACTTCTACCCTGCTAACATCTCTACGCTGCTTATGCTTTCCTGTCTAAGATGCTTATGCCATACTTTTAAAACCAGCGTACATAAAAATTATCATATTTAACTATGATTGGATAAATGTCTACCACAATAATTTGATAGGTGTGAAAATAAAGCATGTAAGATAAAGATTGGTGATTCGTCAAAATCCAGTTTTGCTAGCTTCGTCTCCATGCCTTTCTTCTCAGCCATGATGACTATCGAAAGTTAAAAGGGCTCTACTCTTATATGCGCCCTAAGATCACCAAATGTGGCAATATAAGATCTGTGCTGGTTTTTAGCGCAATTGCGTGTTGTATGGCAACCCTTTTGATGTTGAAAACTCTTTTGCTGAAGTGGTTTAATTGCTCGATGGTTCGTGTCGTGCTAGTTGTGAAATGGCCTATGTTGCAATGAGAGACGTGGTTGCTAGAGGGTCTGGGAGATTATTTTTAATGGCTGTGCAAGATAGAAGTAAGGAAACGCTGATGCAGTGTATTAAAGAGTGGATTGAACCTTGTACAACTATTTTTTCGGATGGTTGGAAATCTTACAAAGATTTAGGAAAAGAAGGTTTTGAACATTTATTTGTGAACTATAGTATGAATTTTGTGGATAACGAGTTTGGCTGTCATATAAATACCACAGAGAGAACATGGCGGCATGTTAAAGCTACGTTCTGCTGTCCGAAGAAGCATCCATTAAGGTAAATGTATTTTATTTTACTGTTTTTATTTTGTAGAATGTTAAGTTCATTGTTTTTTTACTATGAATTTCTGTTGTTATTGTTGTTTTTTTAATTATTTGTAATTGTGCACAATGCCCTGATAATACAATTCGCAGATGTGTTTTTAAGTTTAAACAGAATGGTGTGTACGTGGTATTCTTTGAAATTCATTGTTGTTATGTTAATTTATTAAAGCAGGGTGTGTGTAGTTCATAGATTCCTTCGCTGTCTAGATTGTGCAATTCGTAGATGTTTTTTAAGTTAAAACATGTCGCTGTGTATATGGATTCTTGTCAAATATTTTTGGTTATAAACTTTACGTTTTTGCTATCTAAATTTTTTCTTTCAGATTTTTAGCTTAAATTTTGCGTTTAAAACGTGGTTTTTGATTGAGCGAAAACCGCATTTTTGGAGACATTTTAGGCTTAAAGTTCGAAATGTAGACAAAAATTTTAGACAGTAATATGGCACTGTGGAGTTTCTCGCCAAAATGTTTGCCAAGAAATTTGATGCCGTTTTTGGTGACTTTAGGGCGCATATAAGAGTAGTTCTGTTAAAAGTACTGGTGTCTTCTACATAGTTAAAATACTACATATATGAGGGCAGATCAAAAAGTAAGTTGCACTTCCAAGTTATGACCATTTATTAAATTGTCAAGACAAAAGCAACATGGTTATGACAGCATAGAATGTAAGTTCACTTTTCCACATAGTTCATAAGACACTCTAAACATTTCTCCGAATGGACAACCAACTTTTCGATTTTGGATGCATAGAAATCTCCTCCAGTGCTATGTAACCACATGGAGACAGTTGCTTTCACCTCATTATTTCAGAATCGTTGTCTACCGAGATGCTTTTTAAGCTTACCGAAAACATGAACGCAACACCTCACAAGGCTCGCCAAACGTGCAACCTGCTGCAGCGATTCATGTGTGAAATACACCAACTTCCTCCATACAGTCCCAATTTAGCACCATGTGACTTTCATGTTTTCGGTAAGCTTAAAAAGTATCTCGACGGACAACGATTCCAAAATGATGAAGAGGTGAAAGCAGCTGTCTCTATGTGGTTACATAGCGCTGGAGAAGATTTTTATCCATCCAGAATCGAAAAGTTGGTTGTCCGTTTGGAGAAATGTTTAGAAATGTTTGGAGAAATGTTTGGAACTATGTGGAAACATGCACTTACACTGTATGCTTTCATAGCCGTGTTGCTTTTGTCTTGACAATTTAATGAATGATCATAACTTGGAAGTGTAACTTACTTTTTGATCTGTCCTCGTATATATGGAAAATGTAACACCATGAAAGAATCAGCAAAACAGAATGAAACTTATGAGGAATATATAGTAGGATATTGCATGCATGATTAGAAATGCACAGTGAATATGCATGCCACGGTTCAACAGCCCACTCTAATTAGTTATGCCAGGCATACAACTAGACGGTTGTTAAGAAACTAAATAAGTGTTACACCATAATTAGTGAACTGATGATGGTGGTGTTTAATGGCCCCTAACCTTGGTGGTCATGATGAGCCAAGCCCACAGCAAAGCTAAATAAAGCATTAAAAGGTATATGCCATGAAGATAAAAAAAAATCAAGTTAGACTTGAAATATTCTAAAACTACAATCAAGTCAAAAAGAACTATACAAAGGGAAACTCAAATAACCTAGTAAGTAATACATACCTAGTTATTAAAAAACTTTTTTTTCCTAGTTCAAATATCCAACAAGGTAAAAAACACTTAGTTTGGATTAAAAATATACTATATCTGTAACATTTTATTTTACAGTTTATATAAAAGTTCTGTATCTTTTAAAAAGTGAAACAGATTAAAATGAGAATCGATGTAAGGAATTAACTCAGTTAGAGATGGGACAAAAGAGCCAAAATAATGAATAAAGAGGCAAAACCTAAAGAATTTAAAGTTTGGATGGTCAATTAAAATATGAATCACACATAATGTAGTATTACAATTTATACAAATTGGGATATTCTCCTCTTCAAGTAGATGCTGATGGGAAATCTGAGAATGGCATAAGCATGTCAGATCTGAATTTAATCAATACTTTAAATATATACATATTGCCTCTGACTCAATATATTAATCCTTCCTAAATTAAAAAGAATTCAATGAAACTGCTGTCAAACATAAAATAATTATTATTTATTTAAATCTAAAATTTAAAAAAATATACTTCCTTTGCTGAATAAAATTTTAAAATATCAATCAAGTGACCTAAATTTGAGCAAAAATTGAACAGCTGGAAGTTGACTTCTTAAAATCAGTGTTCTAAATGATAAGACAGCTAAATGACAGATGGATATTTTCCATTCCCAACAAAGGTATTATGTTGCCAGTGTCTGACCATTTGAAACAAACCCATACTTTTTAATTTGAGATGATGTACAGAAATATTTTGCAAAATTTAAGTTGATTAAAGTTGCTTAATCAATTAGGAAAAAATTTCATTTGACTGATTTTAATTTATAAAATATGATTAGATTAAATTCCAGATAAAGTGCAGTGTTTCTTTTGCTAAATTTCAGTTGATTAAAGTTGTTTAATCAATTAAGAAACATTTTTCCTTTGATTTATTCAAATTCACATAATATGATTAGATTACAGATAAAGTACACAGTTTTCTTTTTACACCATATTCCACAAATTTACTTCTATAACAACCTCTTATGCTTGTCTGGGACATAAATCTAAATAATCACGTGAAATTTCCTTTCAATACTGAAATATAAATCTACCATCTATCTAAATTTATATATTAATTTTTCAAGGATTTTTTTATATGCATTTTAGTATAAATTATAGTGGCATTTTTAAATGCTTTTCATTTCTCGAAAATTTACGTAATAAATATTGCCACCATTTTTTTTTTAATTACATCCACCTAGACTCTTTTGAGCATATGGTGCCTTATGGTCCAATAAATACAGAAAATCTCTCCTATAGTTGGGAGAGTCATAAAGAAGTCTGATGGAAGAACACCTTGTAAAGCAGTACATGAAAAAAGATGCTGTTCAGTCATTGGAGCAGAGGCCTAGAAGTACTGCTTATAGAGATAAAAACAACATCATCCTAAATGATAGAAAAGAGGTACTCCACAGGTGGAATGAGCTACTTCAGTAACTTGTTGAATGACCATATGCGGGATGGATCTTCAACCTGCCCAACTACCTCTGTAAACACTGATAGTATCCCACCACCATCTTTGGCAGAAGTTAGAGAAGGAATTAAAAAGTTCAAAAATAACAAGGCTGACTCGATTACTTATTAAAAGTGCTGCAGGTCATAACATTGAGGATATACACCACCTCATCGAATCAGTTTGGAACCAAGAAGTTTTACTAGAAGATTGAAAACTGAGCATCCTGTCCTATACACAAAAAAAAGAGACATTTTGGAATGTACCAACTACAGGGAAATCAATCTCCTTTCTGTTTTCTACAAACTATTTTCCAATATACTTTTTAGTAGACTAATACGGAAAATATTGTAGGTGATTATCAATATGGTTTCCACAAAGGAAGATCTACAGCAGAACAAATCTTTAACATTAGGCAAATTTTGGAAAAACTTACGAATATGGAATTGCAATGCACCACCTTTTTTTTTTTTTTTTTTTTTATTTTAAGACTGCCTATGATCCAGAAAACAGAAAATATTTACTTGAAGCTATGAGAGAATTTGCAATACCTGAAAAAGTTATAAATTTGGTCACCGTTACTCTTACTGAGACAAAGGGTTAAAATTCAAAATAATCTCTTGGAGCCTATTGTTGTTTCAAATGGGCTCAAACAGGGTGATGTACTGGCCTACTTGCTTTTTAACCTTGCCCTCCTAAAAATCATAAAAGTCTTAACATTAATACTCATGGAACTATCTTTAACAAGTCTGTTCAAATTTTTGCGTTTGCTGACCATATTGGCATAGTCACACGCACTCCTGAGTCACTTAGAGAGGCTTTTACATCTCTAGAGGCTGCAGCCAGCAAAATGCATCTAGAAATCAACCAAAATAAAACTAAAATATGCCATGTGGTAATAACAGTAGCCCCTATTTTGAAATTAGGAATTACAAATTTGAAACCATTAGCAAATTTAAATATTTAGGATCAGAAGTTAATACTCTCAATGATTTAATGCTTGAGATCCGTAGGAGTCACAGATGCTAACCAATGATTTTTCGGTCTCAAAAAATACTCTAACTTCACCAACAGAAAAACGGAGATTTTAATTTACAAAAGCTTAATCAGACCCCATTCTTACATACTCTGCTGAGACCTGGGCAATGACAGAAAAAGCTAAAAGTATCATTTGAGTCTTTGAAAGAAAAATTTTGAGAAGTATTTTTGGTGGTATAAAACATAACAATATCTGGAGAAGAACTAACTCTGAACTTTAAGAACTTTAAGAACTCCTTTTAAGAACTAGATATAGTAAAATATATAAGGAATCAGAGAATTAAATGGGCAGGACATCCGTGCAGAATAGATGAAAATCGTGTAACTAAAAAGATCTTCTCGGCCAGACCATTCGGCAGCCGAAAAAGAGGGAGACCTAAACTTAGGTGGCTCGACTGTTTGGAAACAGATTTAAGAATTTTAAAAATAACCAACTGAATGTCCATGGCGAGGGATATAAAAGCTTGGAATTCGATTCTGAGGAAGGCAAGAGCCCATCCTAGGCTGTCTGGCCACTGAAGAAGAAGCAATCCACTGCACGACAACATCCCTTCCTAACTCAATTAGACAGCTAATCAGTAATTTGCACTCAAACTCAGTGGATGTAAGATCAATATTATAACCTATAATAGTTTGAATGCTAGTCTGAGAATCCACAAATAAAACAATATTTTTTATCAGCTGTATTTTTAATAACATGAAGAGCCATCAAAATAGCATACAATTCAGCATCAAAGTTGTCACAAAAGAGCCCAACTGCCTCACTCAGTCAAAATAATTCTGAAAAGACACTAGTCCCAACCCCTCCAGTCACTGCAGAGCAACCAGTATAGATGTGAGTCGAGTGCACAGAAGGATATCTTGCATAGATAGTAAACAGTGCTGTAAATTTAAATTCAACATGGAAAAAAGAATTCAATTTAATGCTAATAACCATGTAAAAAGTTGCTCTTTATTGCCACCACTATCTTCCTTAAAAAGGCAAAAATACACCTTAAACAAAAGCACCCTGTAGGATTCCTCACTGAGTAATTCTAAGTTACTGTTGAAAGTGAAGAATCTTAAGAACTAGTAAGTGAATAATCGCTTAAGTTTGTGTTGCAGGAAACAACAAGATGGAAGGGTAAAATAACCCTTTATTATTCTAAATAAGATTTGACAGAACTTCGTCTTGGAGTTGTACAATAAAGCCGACACTTGGGCTTGAACTTAAGAGACTAAAAATTAAACTAAACTAATCTAAACTAAATAGGTATAGGTGAAGCTATCAAAATTCTAACCAAGTTGGCCCCTTAACATTAACAGACTGCAAAGCTATCAAGGGCCTAAAGTACAGCTGAGCGTAATAATAGCTTACGAGAGAGTAGCCTAAAAAGGTGGACATGTGCTATCCAGAATGTCTGTTATCTCTCTCACTAAGCCTGAAGAACTTCGTGGTTAAACCGCTCTTTTTCATTATGTATTCAGACGTGATTCTAAAACTACGTTCTAGCCGGAAGTGGTTAGTTGAAGTTAAGAATTGATAGGAAAGGAAGTTTAACTCAAAATTTAACTGTTAATAAAATTAACATAATCCTTACAACCTAATGAAATAAAATACAATTTTTATATCACTTCATAAAAAAACATTACATACTAAACTAGGAACTTTACCTTTGATACCAAAAGAAAATCCACTGTTATATCTTTGATTTATGCCCTTTACTCGTGTAACATAAAATCCATAATTCTGAACTAATACTGGCTGTGCAGGCTTCACAGTTTTTGAAGTTCTGGGTTCTTCTACTCTGTGTTTATTTTCATCACCTAATTCAGCATTTATATATAATATTCAATAGCTGTAGATTGAAAAATTAATTAAGTTACATAAAAAGATCTTCAGTTTTTTTTAATTAAATTATTAAAAAATTAATCATAAAATTCAAGATATTATCAGCCATAGGAAAATTTCATTAAAATAAAAGAAAGAAAGAAAAAGAAATCTGCAAACACTAATAAAATCAAATTGGAATATTTAAAAAAAAACTTATTCATATATGCCCTTCAACTTTTCAAATAGTACTTTTTAGGCTAAATATACATTAATTAAAATAGGAAGACCACCAACTGCTGAACAGATAAGCAAAATGAATACTAGTAATCGGACCCATGTTCAGATAACAATGAATACCTGGATGTTTCTGTGATTTTTCCAGTATTAAGAGCCAGTTTCCCTACGAAAGTTTTCCACAAAAGATTCCTCCCCTTAGGTAGGCAGATGACATGAATTTTGCCATAATCAATTAAACAATTAAAATGAGATGGGAAGTTATAAAGATAAAACTGAATTTTACTTCATTAAATTAATTAAAAAGCATCAGTTAATTTGTGATTGAAGTACAAAAAGACTAGTTATATCTAATCAAACATCTTTTCTTCATCTTTACAGCTCAGACTTAAAAGAAAATAGGCACAGTGCAGATAGAAACTACTGCCATGATGATACTCACATTATGGTCAAAAGACTAAGTTACAAACAGAGGTAATAAACTCAATATAAATATTTAAGAAAAATTTTTAATTTTGTTTTCTGAAATGTTAATATTGTATTTACTTACATATTTCCCCTTAACTTTTTAACATAAGGTTCTGAACACTAAAATTACAGCACAGTCTGAAATCCAGATGTCCATTATTTAGACCACCAGGTAGAAAAATAAATAAATAAAACGCATAAAAAAATCCCCCATTTCCTTACAAAGTCTAGGGATGGAGAATATAATATTTCAGAAATGAAAGTAAGAGTGTCCCAAAACACAATTTTTAGCCCCAGAACCACTAACTGAGATTCTTAAATGCCACTTTCAAACACCTGCTGCCTAAAAAGTGGCATGGTTGTGGTGGCCAATGACAATACATTGTCATTGGCTATGTTGCATTGATATTTGCCAGAATCATACTTTCAGCCCTTGAATGGTTGAGGTAGCATTTTCTATTTGACCTAATCAATAAGCTTCAATACTGTCATATTTACAAGTCCTCTTATTAGATTTAAATTGATGATCTAAAATCCGAAAATTTCTGAAATCTAGAATTGCCAAAGTCTCGATTATTTCAGATCTCAGACTTCATCTATATTCAAATAATTTTCCCTTTCCTCAAAGCATTTAGAAAGAAACCTCCCTAAATTTAAAAATGAACTCCTGTGTAGTGGTTATTTTCATCTTACTAACAGAAACAAATCCTTAAAATTAGCTGTGAAAGTCAAGTCAACACTCTCCCTTCCCATTCCTGTCATCATTCCAAGACATAATCACTTCTCCAACCACCCGACATATCTAGAGCTTAAAGTGTGGCAAAGCCTGGCTCCAACAAAAAAGGGAGATGCACAACTACATATTATAGACAGTCTTATATACAATATTTTAACGTTCTGAGACTACTCATTTTTGAGTTATGCGAGATACATACATATATAAATACATAAAGAAAACAAAATAGGAGGCTAAAAATTAAAAGCAATAAATTTTTTTACAGATATATGTCAATTAACACTGAAATAGAAATATTTTGAGACTGTATATATTTGAAATGGAATGGATTGAATTATCTAATCATGGTAAAATATATATCTACCTAGATACACCTTAATTCTGACCCAATGCATGTGGATTTAGAAGTAAAAAATTCTCAACTTTTAAGATCAAGGGAATTTATGCCTTTATTTTACAAAGGCATTATGAAAAAGTCTTTGACTTAGCAGAGAATTAAACCTAAGACTGTTAAGAGTTATTAGCTTAGACTAATCATTATATTAAATGAGAGGATCGTGAGAAATCATATTTCATTACTCCCACTAGATGGCAGCACTACCCATTTATTTGATTCCAAATTGCAAAAAAGTGCATTCTAGGACTTCAGAATATTATATTTTTCACAGATACCTTTTTCACTAACCCATGTAGACCAGCATGTAATAACAACGATCAGCAATAATAATTACTTAAATATAGTCATTGAGGATTTATTCTTAATCATGTTATGATCTCTTCTTTTCTATACACGAACCTTAAAGAATTTGAATTTTAAGAAATTTGAACTTCTAATTGGTTCCTCAGAACTAAATTTAAAATGTTTCAAGAGAAAGTTTGAAAGCTAGTTTATTAACAATTATGTGGTTTAAATTCTCACCATTTCCTTTGATTAACAAAGATATGAAATTTAGATAAAAGCTAAAGGTACATAAGACATAATTTTACCGATAACTTTATAAAAGAAAAAATGGAAAATCTCTAAATTTTGCAATGAAAAAAAATTCAGAAGTAACTCCACAGCACTGACATCAACATAAAAAATATTTATGCAAGTGACAGAAATATAAAATTCTCTAACATATTTTGCATCATAGCACCATGCAGAAAGTTAAATTTAAAACAGCATAAAGTTTTAATTGATCTTACAGAAATTAATTGTTATGCTGCTAAGATTGAAAAATAAGGATAAAGTTTATAATTTTACAACAATCTAAAATATGCTTAATATTAAACTATTAAATCTAAACACAATTAGAAATTAAAAAAGTGCAAAAGCTATCAATTTCAAATGCACAGAAGAAAATTAATAAATATATAACATAGTTCAAAGTGTAAAATTCAGATAATAGAAGCAATATAAAAAAGTCTTCAGAGCTATTAATGCTGGAACTGAATGCATGTCATTTTGCTTTAATTAAAATAATATATGCCAATACTAATTGCCAATGATAAAAATTAGCTTATATTTACGTTATGCACACAGAACACCACACAAAAAAATTATGCAGTCATGCATAAAAACCTGGTTCGAACTACCAGTGCTTAGCAACTACAGATCGATTAAATACAAACAGTTAAGACTGAATTTAAAATACTCTTTTGATTATTCCATAATGTTCTATTGCAGTGAAAGCTTTTACTTCTTAAGAGGCTAGGTCTTTCAGATTCCCTGCCCCTAAAACTCCATTTATAAATATGAAAATAAATACAAATAATTAGGAATACCTAAATGAAATGATTTCATAAACTAATTTAATGACATTAAATTTTTAATTCAAATTCAATTTCCCAAAAAGAAAAAAAAAATTTTTTTAAAGGGCTGTCTTTAAAAGTCGTTCAGCCATACAAATTAAGAACGTCATGCAACATGAGCAAAAAATATTGATTATTTATTAACACTTTTATTAACAGATTTCCATAACGCTGAGATAATGTGAAAGCAATTGTTGTAAGGGAATCCAAATTTCAATAGCTTTATAAAATAAAAAAAGCTGGTAATAGAGAGAAGGGTACCCCTTGTATTATTGTGAAATTGTTGTTTCATTTATCGCCAAATGGTGGTTTATTTATGGTAGCCTGAGTAGTTTAATGTTATGGAAACCCTAATATGATGTAATCATTGCATGATTGCAGTGAATTTGTAAGGGCTTGTCATGTGTGTTGGTTAGGAAGTACATCGCTTGTTTTCTGTTTTAGACGGTAAAATAGTACGATTGTGGTAAGATTAATTGAATGTGGTAAGATTAATTTGAAGTTTCTGTACGATTTGGAAAGAAAGGGGGAAAAGAGCATTACTTGACTGGTGTGTAAATGAAGGTTTACTACTAGCCATTGTTATTAAGTGTCCTGTTTGTAAGAAGGAAATGTGTATGGTCGAACGATACGATGCTACGGAGGATATTTTTTACTCTTATTTTATGAATTTATGTGGCGATGCCAGTATACAGATTCTAGTTCAGATAATTTTAGGAAGTTTTTTGATGCTTTTAAGGAATTTTGTTTGACTGAAGACGTGTTAATTCGTAAATAAGGTAAGTGGATATTTCTTTGTATGGTGGAAAGATGCATTTCCTTTTTTATGTTATTTGATTGTTTGATTTAAAAATGTAGTTTATTGAGATTATATATATATATATATGTAAGATAAAAATATATGAATCAGAATTATAATATAACTATAAACATTAATTCTTCCTCTCTATTCTAAAATTGTAATAACTTATCTGCATTGCGTCATTCAAATTAATCATGCGATCTTACGTAACTGTTAATACCAGATGCCTCTTGACGACCAATCACCGAATTGTAAACCAAAACTTTTCTCTTCGTGTGCTTCCATCTTTCATAACTACGCACTTCAGCTTTTGCTCTCTACTGTGCTAAGATGTAATTTCGCTGGCCTGCTTTCTATCCCAACAATATCAAAAATGTAAATCTTCTGTGGAAAGGCACGATTAGAGTGCCAAGTGATTGTGGCCACAAATATCAGCTGGAAATAAAAATGGAATTAAAACTGCCTCGACTGCCAAGCTCTTTAAATACTACGCAATCAAAATTCTTCTTCAATATGGATCTAAGCACGCATCTACGGTGTTCTGTTCCGTCCTTTCCTTTCCTTTTGCTTTTATTATGACAATTAAGCCGGTAGGATAGTTTCCTGCAGCCTGAAACCTCAATGGAAAATTTAATTCAGCTCTTCAAATCATCGTTTTGTGATAAATCCAAGATAATGTGAAAGAAGTGAATCATCAAATTTGTTTTTTTCAGTGTTTAAAAAATAACAGATCATTCTTCTGCTGTGGTGTTTTGCAAGTGCTTCAAAAAATAATCACGCGTAGTGTTTACAGATTGAAAGTGATCTCTCGATAAATTGAGAAGTTCGAATGTCTATTGAAAAGGAAATCATCAATGAATTACCGTTTAGGAATTAAGCATTACAGCGGGTTCAAGTTCGATCTGAGTTAGTGTTTGCAAGTATGTGCGACAGAAAATTACTTGCACTTCCGCTTTTTCAACAGCTCAAAAATTATTACATTCGTGTGAATCTAGCTGAGGAACTAAATTATTTAATGTGCTGCGGAATCTATAGTTTTCATTTCAACTTTGGTTAAAATTTCTGCAATTTGTTTTGAGAAAATCTGAAATTCTTGTTCATTAATTTTTCTAATTTTTCATAATTATGTGTGAGGAAATTAAGTAATTAATTTTAAGCTATTTAAATTATTCATAGGGAAGGATATTAAGATAAGTTTTTATGATTTTGAAATTTTGTTGAGAATTTTGAATACGAATTTTATAATTATTCTAAAAATGAAGTAGGTGTAAAAAATAAGTGAAATTGTTAGAGATACGTAATATGAAATTATGGTAAATGCATGTTAAATTTATGGGTGATTGTATGTTAAGTATAGTGTATGTCGAGGGAGTTCGGGGTTCCTAAGCAGAGGCCTGTAATTACCTCTGTACAGTTGTTCCTTTTACCCTCTTCATGCAAGATAATGTTGGAGGCTCTCATTTTATGAATGCATGTAAATTTTTTATATGATTATTATTATTATATTTTTTTACTATGGAATGTATTAGTGCAGTTCTCAAAGGCCAGTTACCTTAATGCAAGGAACGGAGGTCTTTTCAAGTAACTGCCTAGGCACCCTGGGCCACCAGTACAGAGAATACACTGGTTAGCTCAAGAGGACAGCCCTATTGATGGATATGTTTGTTTAGTATTGCGAGGCTTCCAGTTTGGTAAATACAGGAATTGTAAATGAAAGATGATAACGGTGAAACCATAATTTCTGAAGCTTACTCCTATTATTATATGGTGATAAAATATAATTTTTCAAATATGAAAATTAATATCATAAATATTTATAAGTAATCATTATGTAAAAGTTTATTTTGTGATATGCTGTAATAACAAGAACTTTCCCTGAAGAATTATGATTATGTGAACTCTCAAACAAAAAGACTTTTGGACTGAAATGCTGAAAAATTCAATAGGACTCTAAAAATTAAAAATTTATTTAAAAAAAATTGATATTTATAAATTATACTTTACAGGACAAAAATTTTATGATTTATTTTTATTTCTTTACATTTGCTAGTGCTTTAACTCTTTCTCTTTAAAAAGGCTTCTCTGTCGCTAAAGCCTTTTTCTTTTTGAAGGGGGAAAATATGTAAGATAAAAATGTATGAATCAGAATTATAATATAACTATAAACATTAATTCTTCCTCTCTATTCTAAAATTGTAATAACTTATCTGCATTGCATCATTCAAATTAATCATGCGATCTTACGTAACTGTTAATACCAGATGCCTCTTGACGACCAATCACCGAATTGTAAACCAAAACTTTTCTCTTCGCGTGCTTCCATCTTTCATAACTACGCACTTCAGCTTTTGCTCTCTACTGTGCTAAGATGTAATTTCGCTGGCTTGCTTTCTATCCCAACAATATCAAAAATGTAAATCTTCTGTGGAAAGGCACGACCAGAACGTGTAATGGAATAGTCTCACCATTCGCCCACGATGTGATGGAATAACTGAAAACATTACATATATATATATATTTGTTGGATGCTCCTTTAAGTACAGTTACTTTATATAGTTCATTTTTTAATATAGTTCCTTTTTTAATATAGTTCGATGTGTACATGGACAAAGTCAAGGGAATGCGCAATGCCTAGTTTGTGCAATTCTCTGATGTTTTTTTAAGTGAAAATAGGTCAATATACATGGATAAAGAGTTTGTGCAATTCTTGGTCTTGTTATTTTGGCTTTTGAAATGGCGATTTTTGGAGCAAAAACCGCTGCTACACAAGGCAAAATAATAAGTCAAAGAATTGCTTAAACTCGGTATCCATGTACTGCCAATTTTCACCAAGGGATACCCGCAAATATACTTTTATCAAAATGTTTTCATAAAATAAAATTCAAATGTGCAATAAATGGCAGAGAAAAGAAATGATGAAAACAACAATTATTTGGGGGGTCTAAAATAAGTAATATAAAATAAATAACTAAAAGCAGTAGATTACATATTATATCATTACCAAAGATATTAGACTAAATTACAGATGATGCTAAAATGAATGTCAAATAAAAGATCACCAGGAATCATTCTAAATATGGTGCAAGAAGGCAGAAGGTATGAAAAGGGAAAGTATATTAATTCATATTTAACTCAAGTTTTTGAAAATTCACTTGATTTTGTCCAGTCCTAGTATTTACGATAATGCATACTATGCTGCACAAAGAGAAAGAGCTCTCTGTCCATGATCTATTTAAATCTCAATTAATGAGCTGGCACTTATTAAAAGAAAAGAAAATAACAGTTTTATACTTAAGAGATAATATGACACTGAACTTTCTTTTTTTCATGAAGCAGAATGAAATGTACTAGAAATACCATTAAATACATGCAGTAGAATATTCTTTCCTGTAAGAAACAGGTCTATGGCCCGAATTTTTTATTAAACAAATGTTAATATGTTCATTTGCTTAACAAAAGAGTTGGAACCAATATAAGATTTAAGGATTAAAGACTAAAAGATTAAATTGATATACATCCACATTTATTTATTTTTTTTTAAAGGTTAGTTTATCTGCCTCTCCTCGTATGAGACTTTTAGCAGGCCTCAAAGTATGAGAATGTAATAAAAGTGACTGAAGTTTCAGTAAAGCATCCATAAGTTTGTACATAACTAAAAATATCTTCCGAATAAATTTAGAAAAATTAAATAAACTTTTAGATTGAAGAGATACTGAAGCAATATGGCTCTTACCCCTCTTACTAAAGGCAGATTTGCCCAGTCTGCATGTTGCATTTGAAAAGGGCTTCACTGCAAAGGGCCCCAAAAGCTCTTAAATCATTAATTGGTTTTTTAAAAATAGTAAACATACCCTATATCTCAAGATGAAGGACCCCAAAAACTACAAGTGTGGACCCTCCACCTCATAAATCTGCCACAACTTATTAAAATTAAAGTGATTTCTTCTGGAACTTACTAAACAATTAAGATCTAAAAACTATTAAATATAAATCTCACTTCATGATATGATTTCAGATAAATTTTCATGAGAAGATGTGTGTGTGTGATTATGGCAAAGCTTCGAGGGCTATCCGCCTAAGGGGAGGGATGCCTTCATGGAGGACTTTCTAAGGTAAACTGACCTTGTATAACCGCCACACATGGGGAAAACCAAAAACGCCCATGCAGGCAGCCCGTTCGCGGGATTCGAACCTCGGACCGAACTACCAGTGTTCAGCGACTTTACCGCTCGGCCGCTGGTGGGCCTCATGAGAAGATGAACTTAAATTTTCTTAATTACTTTAATGACTGTCATGGACTTAATTTACTGGACAGTTTGCTTACCTGGATGATAAAAGTTTTTAATGTGATCTGGATTTTTCCGGTAACATTTTTCACCATATCTGCATTTTGGGCGATCATCAGTAGCCACTTCATTTTCAGGCGCTATTTTCCTTTTCCTTTTGTGTCCATCATCAGACTCAGAATCAGATAATTCATGCAATTTGGTGTGGCATTTTCGTCTTTTTACTTTACCTACAGAATCCTCATTTTCCTTTGAATTTGTTTCTGCTTTTGACTGTGCAAGGAGTGCTTCAAGTTCATCAGAATCAATTGTCCGATCAGAATCGGAATCCATATTACTTATAACTATAATTAAAAGAGATTATATGACAGAAAAAGTGTATAAATCATACACAAAAAAACATTATCATTAACCTTAAAAATTTTTCATGCAAACATTTTCACTGCAAACATTAATCAGTTCACTGAAATTTAAAAATTTGTATTTTAATTTCTAAGCTATCTTTTATATAATTAATAATGCTACTGTCATATTATAGATAAAAGATTGTCTCACTTTTTATTCCCATACAAATTCAGGCACTTTTATGGATATAGAGAGCTCTAATTGCAAAAAAGGAAATAAATCACCAAGTAGTATTAATCAAAGTTTAATACAGTAGCAACGTATGCTAAGTCTATAAGTAATGATATTTAATTTGCAATAAATGCCCTCAATAAAACTCATTTCCTATTCTTAATGCTTTCAATTTTTTTCGCATCAATACAACAGTCCAGTATAACTAAAATTGAACTTACAAGCAATTACTTGACACATTTACTTTGTATACTACAATTTAAAAAAATATTTTACAGACAACAAATTTATGGCTTATTGACATTTATGTTATTCCCAACATTAAAACATTAAAAGCACATTGAACTTGACAAGCAATTACTTGACACATTTACTTTGTATACTACAATTTAAAAAAATATTTTACGGACAACAAATTTATGTCTTATTGACATTTATGTTATTCCCAACATTAAAACGTCACAGCAAAAGTTTGCAAGATGATCTATATATAAATTTACAAGGGGACTTATGCATAAAATAAGAATGATTATGTGGAAAAATATTTAATAAATTATTATTGAAAGAACATCAGCAAGTGACAGGTGAATTGCTACAAACTCCATGACATAATATGTAACATAACTAGGATTGAATGAATATAATGCTGAATGAAATTATTTGTTAAATGATTTAATATTCAAATTAGTAACACTTGCTGGTGACAGATAATGAGATAATGATGTACTGACACATTGTGTCTCATGTGTATTTCATATACATACAACGAATTTAAGAATATGACAGTTACTTTGAAAAACTTAAACTATACCTGTACATTATTTTACTCAGAAATGGGTTTTGATATGATTTACAGATGTAATAACACAAATTCCAGTTGATTTCGTGTATTTCTTTGTTTAATTATGAACCGTAACAAATTTTTTAAAAATAAGAGATGGTTATGATAAGAGATATAGTAAAGATAGATGTAGGTTCCAGTCAAAAAAAAAATAGTGCAACCTTAGATTTTCTTGTCAGCTCTAACTTTTAACACCCCCCTTATGAAATCTGATGTCATTAATAATGATGTTCGATTAGATGATTAAGTAATCTAAGCAAAACACCCATGAGGGTTATCTACCTAAGCAAAATCTCAAATTTTAATCAAGAGCAAGGCAGGGCAACTGAGAACCTCAGTTTGATCCACGTCTGAATCTAACCTAATGGCATCAGAGTTAAAGCAAGAGAGTTAGTCATACTTTGCTAATTATTTTATCATCTGAAATGGCTTATGAAGATGTTAACATATTGACTGCCAGTTACAAGATAATATATACTTGGCAAACGGAGCCAAAAGATCAAGACAAAACTCATAAATACTGAACTTAATTTCACACAATGATAAAGGGAAACGTGTCTGAGTATTGCGAACTTTCCACTGCATATGCCATCTACAACATAATGATGAAATACTCCCCCCCCCAAAAAAAAGTACGTTCTATGTGTTTTTCGGAGACTAATTTGTGTTTATTACAACTAGGATTTTGGATAATATAATACGACTAAATCGGTTTTCGCGTCCCTAAACATGAAAGCTGCTGTGATAGTTAACATAAAAGAAATGCAAGAAATGATATACAAAATACAGCTACAATAAAAAGCGACAGACAGAACTGATTTTTGGGTTTAAAAAAAAACTTGAATTTTTATAAATTTTCAAAACCTTTGATAAAAGAAAAGTTTTCATGAAGATATTTTAAAAAATTGTTGGTCGTTTAATAAATGGAATATTACAGTTATGAATCCCAAATAATTGCTTTTACATAAATTTTCCTTATTAGAGAAATACAGCATTACATACCTATAATTTCATATCGCGGAATGACAACACGCAGACTTCGAAGATCATTCCACACGTTCTGAATCTTTTAGCCTGTTAGCAAATTTTAAACATTTTAAACATCAAAATCAGGATGAAATGAAGAAAAAATATCCATACGGATCAAAATATGCTTATAAAACCTAACTGAATAAGAATTTTCAAAAAAATAATCGATTAATCAAACACTGAATTAGAAATAAAATTCCTGAAGTAATTAGTTATACACATTTTAGATCTCTTCAGAATGGCAAAATTGCTGTTGTTTACATTTTTTTTCCCGATTTGTGTAGGTATAGAGTATGAATAACATCTTATGTTTGTTAGCGTCTGAAACCGAACTTATGTCATGTTTAACAGTGTAATTTCTCACTGAAAGAAATGACTTCTTTAGTTCAGAAAGTTTTTATCAGTTTTAGCTCTTTAAATTTTCTTTTCATTTTTATAATTTCTTCGAATTCAGCAGAAGATGATCAAAATAATGCATACATAGAAAACATAACGGTATTTGAATCTGATGTACAATATGAAATACTAAACTCTACTAATTCTGACTCCGAATATGATATTCGTATATTAAATGAAAATGCTAGTTTTTCAGAGAATAGCAGTGATAAAGAAATTAAAGATGACTCCAAAGTCAGCTTTCAGTCAGATATAGATATATCTATAATTCGTTCATTTACAACGCGAGATGAAGATATATGTAGCTGTGATTTACTTTTAAATGCATGTGATATTAATTGTTGTTGTGATCTTGATTGCAACGAAGAAGATATAAAAGTATTCTCAAAATGTCACTCTCAAATACTAATACCAGATAAAAATTATTGCTATCAAAAAGATATTATTTTTAGAAACAATACGATTTACAAAATGGAAAAAGACCCTGAGAGTTCTCTTTTCTGTATCATCCATGATAACTTTAAAGAACATCTTCGATTTAAAGACCTGCCAATTATCAGATCGCATCGAGATTTAAATATAGTATTGAAACATTTATCTAAAAATACTTTTTCTTGGGACACCGAAGATGATAATAATATTGATGAAAGAAGTGGAATGATAGCTGGAAATCCAATATTTATTGACTTTGAATTGAAAAATCATGAAAAGAGCACTAAGCATTGGAGTAAGTGTTGATTTGCTTAAAATTTTCTGATTATTAATATCTTTTGCTCCCATCTGCGAGAATACTCCTAATTGGCAAACTGAGTTTACATGTCAGCTGTGAGAATACTCATTTATTATGTTACCTAAATCACTGACTGTGAGTATTATTGTCGCAAGTGCATGCAATGTTTGGGTGAATGGCATAGTGAAAGGGACTAAATAATACACTTGCATACTGAAATGGATCGTTTATTTTTTTATAACACAGGTACAGTAACTAAGCGTTTAGAATGCAAAAGTATATCTAATCATGATATATTTTGAAGAACACAATAAATAAAACATAGATTATGTTGAAACAGTAATAAGTGTTATGAAATAAAATTATGTGATAAGTTTTAGAACAATTTCAACTCAATGTGCTGGTTGCTATCCACACACAGACACAAATACTACGTTTCTCACCTTATCTTTTATCTATTACAAACTCTATATGGCTTTGTAATATACTCATGTGTATCAACTTTACGGCTTTGTAGTATACCAACCATGGGTATACGCGTATATATTTATTTCTGACTAAAGATAATCTCTTATATCTATATTTAAATAATAAAATAAAAACAATTTAAAAGTATGAAATTGCATATAGAACTTAGGCTCTCATGTGAGCAGTTGCATCTCATCAGCTTTGGCAGCAAACATATTAATGTGAGTTGGACTTGCTGAAGACTTAAATTTGTAGGTAGAGTGGCTTGTGAAATAATATGTTAATCATTAAATCACATTCACATTTAGTCATTAGAGTACTAGGAGACATTAACATGAAGATATATTATTCTCATTTTAGATATAAAGAATTCTTTTATTTCCTTTGTGAATTATTAACATCTAGTTAAAACTGTCATCTTTACTAATTTATATCCAGTACAGTCCTGGATGTTTTATTTTTTATACAAATGAATTTTTCTGTGCAATTAGTATCGAAAAGGAATAAAATTAAGATAACACTTGTAAAGACTTTCCTGACATTAAAAATGGAAAACATAGCAAAGGAAAAAAAGGCTAAATAAATAGAGAAAATTTTTCTGAATATATTTAGCAGTCCAGTAATTTTCTGTTAATGAGGCACCATTCTAATATGGTAGCCTGTTTATATCATATTATGAATAGCTGTGTAATATGCAATGTACGTAATCCCAAGGCAAAATGTTGTTCTTTCCTTGTGCACAGTAATCTTTTTTTTAGTGTAAAAAGACATCAGGGAATTCTACAAATTTGATGTCACACACATTAAACATATATGCATTATAAGATACATTACTGTTATTACAAGTTATTTTTTTTATAAAGCTTTATAGTAAGTCATTAGAGTTACGTCTATCCAGTTATATTTTATGCCAACATTTATATTAGATGCGAATACCTTCAATTCTAGCATTTTGATAGCATTATTTCTTAATTCAAATGTGTATGTGCAGAATGAAACAACACAATTAGCATAAGAATTCAGTTTAGATAAATACTTACTTTTGGGAGTGGAGCTTCAAAGCTAAAATCTAATGCATCACTAAGATTAATTAAATTATTTCCTTTGAAGTATAAACTATTATAAAACTTAGCAATTGGTGTCATTTAATCAAGTAGAAAAAAAGTAGGAAAAAAATATGCTTATAAAACCTAACTGAATAAGAATTTTCAAAAAGGTAATCGATTAATCAAACACTGAATTAGAAATAAAATTCCTGAAGTAATTAGTTATACACATTTTAGATCTCTTCAGAATGGCAAAATTGCTGTTTTTTACATTTTTTCCCCCCGGTTTGTGTAAGTATAGAGAGAGTATGAATAACATCTTATGTTTGTTAGCGTCTGAAACCGAACTTATGTCATGTTTTTTAAAAATAGTCATGTCTCAATTATTTCTCTCATCTACTTGAAAATAAATTAGATTAATATGAATTAACTTAATTAAACTGAAATATTTGGATTATATGGGATAGAATTTGATTCAAATAGACAAAAGGGACAAAACACAATCAGATCTGAGTAACTTGGTTTTATTGAGAAGGGCTAATATCCCTTGAAAAAACAGCCTTTTTACGTGGAATCGGCAATAATTAATAATTTTTTTGTATTTTTATAACTTTTTTCGTACTTGATTAAATAACACTAATTGCTAAGTTTTTATAATTAAAATAGTTTACACTTTTCATTTTCCAAGGGGCTAGTATCTTAATTATTATACAATAACATAAACAAAAGGAAAGGAATATTTATGAATCCTTCACCTAGGCTGCAATGATTTAGTTAAACAAAATCAAATGATTGAAAGGGGAATACTCCTATTAAAACTTCAAAAATTCTATAAGGTAAAAAGTAAGAATGCCAATAAGGAACGAGGAGAATTACAATTTGAAGACTAATAAATTCCAATCTACAAAGCAGTGATAGAAAAGAAAAGTTAAAAAAATTTTTTAAAGAATTTGAAGTATAAATTGACTTACAAGCATTAGCTAATCGTAATGGAAAATACATATATTAAACATAAATTTGGTCATTAATGGGGGATATTTGTCAGGATTTTGAGCCACACATGACACTTTAATAAAACATATATTAGTAAAATATTTAAACTTTTGAATAGTATTTTTCAATAATTCATCAAAATAATCAAATATAAAATTTGATTTCTTCATTTTTACATATATTGCTGAGCTATATAAAAATATATAATTTCATATTTAGCAAAATTACTATCAGACTTGCTTATATATCACTATTAAAACTTCATTTCTGACAGCACTCACGAATAAACTGTTCAATATAATTACTTAATAAAGATTAATTCTGTATGTATACTTTTTAATGTAAGCACATATCCCTGCAAGTTTTTATCTATGTAGGCTTTCAGACATGTGATTATTTTTCCAATGGATGTTCATGACTGTCTTCTTCCATGAAATTTTGTTATGGAACCCCATAATTTGGCCAAAATCCCTTAAATTTCAGTGAAGGGTAATAAGTTTTAATATTAACTTATCTCATTCAGTTTTTATTATTCTAATTAATTTATATGTTTCAGGTTTATTTTCATCATGTTTTACAAGTCTCTGTTCTTGTGAAGAGGAAGTTCACTATCTTGAAGATTTTAAATCATCTTGCAATCATATTATTATGAATTTAGAAGCAGAATGTGATAAAGATACATTTTTATCTGCAAATTTTTATTCAGACTTTTGTATAAATCCACAAAGTACGTCACCAGATGTAGTCTCTCAATTAACAGAATTAATAACCCATACTAAAGCTATGAATTCAAGCTCTGACATTAGCTATGAAAAGGAAAACAAACTTTGCCTTTCTTATAACTTTAAAACTCCAAAATATTTTAAAAATACAGGTATATGTCAAAATGTTGTTAAAACAGTTCATTTTATTGTGGAACATGATGGTGTAAATGGTATTAAAAATATAACAGTGTATTTTAATTTTACTGAGTTAAATAATATGGAAAAAATACTTCATCAACATTTTGCTGTTGATTTTAAATGGACAAATTTGACAGAAGTAACTCGCAGAAGCGGGAATCCAGGTTATCAGGTTGATTTTCCTATCCTTGCTGGAACAAATAGCACAACTATTGATTCTGAACAACAGTTTTATATAACAGTCTATCCTGATGGTTTAAGTGTTTTAGATAAAAATAGTGAAGGAAATTGTGGAAGTAACCGCAGAAGTATTAAATTTGGTAGGAATTTAAAATTGGGCTGTCATTTCAAAATCTCTTCTAGTCAATGCAAAACTGTTCAAGAAGCAGTCCTTGCTGTTCTTTTAGGTCCAAGTATAAAGCAAATTTTTGTTGGTATGTTTGGAAATGCTAATAGCAGCAACAGTGATGATTGGATAGAAGTTTATCATGAAGAACTTGATGTGGCATCAGATGATGATAAATGTTACTTAACCACTGATTTGAAAATTGATGTCCTTTATGCAGCAGTTGGCACAGTTGCAAATCCACAATATAAAATTTTAGGTGTTGGATACCATTACATAAGACCTGAGATTGTAGATTTATCTTGTTCATTACGATGTCCTGATTTAACTTTATCAACTTCTGTATCTTTTTTTGATATTACACAACCAGCCATACCAATTTATCCAAAACTGCCTACCATCAAAGCAAATTTACCAGATGATTTTTTTTATCCTTTTGTGTATGGAGGAAGTTCCAGGTGTACCATTGATGTATTTTTAATTATATTATATTTTGTAATGAATTTTCTAGTCTTAAAATAAAAATTATTTTATCTATTTTAAGTATAGTACATAATACAGTCACAATTCAGTCATTTTTGTAATATTATTGATTTTTCATCTATTACATATAATCTTTCCAGTGATTTTACTAAAAAGAAAAAAATTTCTTTTATTGCTTATTGCAAAAAATTATCTGTAATAAGGATTTCTTACAGCATAAACAACTTTCCCACTATTAAATAATGAAGAAAATGCATATGTAAGAGCTGCTAAGAACCACATACTGTTCTTAAAAGTGTCAATGGTAGAATGGTAGAAGAATCTACCATTAACACTTTTAAGTATGTGGTTTATTTTACCCTGTTTCATAGCACAATAATTTTATTCCTTATGTTTTGGTTTTCAAATTGCACCTCAGCATGGCTTGCTATTTCTTTTAATAGTGGTTGTTTATGTAGAGATTTTGGCTTCAAGTGATAAATGTTTCTCCCATGCACTGATGAAGTGTTCCAGTTTTCTCACTTTTAAAAAAAGACTGAGCGATAAAGATTCCTGCCTACTCTAGTGATGTGTTACAGTTTTACAGACATTTAAGAAATGCCTGAGTGATAACGGTTCCTGCCATACACTGATGAAGTGCTCCAGAGTCAGGTCCTCCAAATATTATCCTTCAGCTTTATGTAAGCTTGATTAGTTACCTGATTTCTGAAGTCTGTGATCGTAAGTACCATTTACCTTGTCTTAGTGGTGAATTAATTATGTAAATTTGAAGTTTTTGGAGTGTCAGTATATATTTAAGAGTTTTCTAGATTAGGTTAAAGTAATGATTATGTGAAAACTGTGTGTTAAAATGTAAATATTTATTCAGGAGATGAGTTTTGAGACTAGGAAGTCTTTATTTGCATTTTTATAGTGACTTAAACATGCTAATTATGTTTCAGAATTGTGTAATTATTCAGCACCAAAAATTTAGCTGCACAACACAACTTTTATTTCTTCAGAAATTTAACATTTCGCCCCCCCCCTTCATTTTCTGCAACCTGATAGCCAACTTGCAGAATTTCTTGTATTTTCTTTCTTTTCCAATATCTATTGTAAAAAAGAAAAAGAAGAAAGAAAATTATCAAGAATCTTCAAAAAGAGAAAATTGGACTAGGACAAACAAACTTACAAAACTGGTGAATATGAAGTATATGTTTAACAAGGAACAATAATAAAAAAATTTAAATTCTCTGTTTTGTTTTATCTGAGTTTACCATTATTCTAACAATTCTAGGTTCAAAACTTTTAAAAGATATTTTTTAAAACTTTACATCAGTACTCACTAATTATTATTCTGTGCACTGATCCTTTGAACCTCTAAAAAGACATTTATCTGAAATATTATCTACATTTTTTTTTTCATTATGAAAGAAATGCAATTTTTTTAAGGTTTATATTTGATGTTATCATTTAAGTTGTTTACAATGTTGTCATTCAAGTTACTTGCTCGTGATTTTGATAAGTTAATCCATTTAATAACTGTAAATTAATTTTTCAGAAAAAGCCAAATAGAGGTTAAAATTAAAGCATATGATTATTAAGAGAGGGATGGCTTTTTTAACAATGCTCTAACACTCTCTTAATAATCATAAGAATCCTTAATTTCAGTTTTATGAAAACAAAATAGGTACTTACGTATTATTGCAACCAGGTTGGCGCAATTTGCAAGTTTGAGTAAAAAAGTATGAATAGAAAGAAAATGTACATTTATTAATTACAGATAATTTTTAATACAGTTTTTTATATTATTTTGTTTTAAAATATAAAATAGCAATTAAAACCCTTCCGGTTTTCGAATTTGAATAAGTTGCAGAATTATTTTTTCGGCGGAAATCTTTTGGCTATTGCTTTTAACACTGATTGAAAACCGTCTTCGCAATTAACAGCTTGAGCTTAGCGCCATATAAATTCGATAAGGTACGAGTCAAGATGATGACGGGCTGTTCCTCTGTTTTTTGTTGCGCCATTTGGCTGAGCCCCACGTGCGCTCTACATGTTGTGTGTGAACGCCCGTGTTGGGATCCACAAAGTTATATTTGTGATTAACAGTTCCATGCAGAAATCCAACATTTTCAAACTCACTTGTATTATATCCTTTCCAGCAATCCGAATAAATGATGCTTTCTTCCTTTATATTTTCACAAATTTTTTCCATGAGGGTAACAGCGCTTCTGTTAGGTACAGTAACCAAAAAAAGTCTCTCTTTTCTCGGCAAATTTCGCCGAAAATCCATTGCTGTGGTAGTACACATCCAGTGTTATTTTTCTTTTTACAAATAAACTTTCGTCTAAACACATAGGGTTGCCGTAAGTAGGGTCGCCAAATTGGCGATTTATGCGAATTTTGGCCTGGTTGCGTTAATACGTAAGTACCGCAAAATATTGCACTATTTAATATATTAAGCTTTTGCAAGTTTTTAATTATTTACATTATATTAAATGTATTAGTGTATTGCAATATCTTGATACATAACTGGCAAAAATATTAGAACATTTGCATCAGTATTAAAAAAAACATTGGGGGGGGGAATGATTATCTACTTAAAATCATTGAATTGAATAATACTTTCAGTTTACAGAAGTTTCATATATAAATTATCTTCCTCTTTCCATTTAACATTAGGGCTGGCTGCATGGGCGTTTTCGTGGTTTTCCCCATGTGTAACGTGTATACGAGCCAGTTTCCCTTAGAAAGTCCTCCACGAAGGCATCCCTCCTCTTAGGCAGATAGCCCTCGAGAATGATTTTTCATCAGCATTAATTATGTTGTTTTTTTCTTTTAAAGTACGTTTTTAGATATAATTTTTAATGCTTTCTGTCTTTAATTTACAGAAAGATATGTACAGAAATAGATAAGAACCTTGAAAGCCTTAAATAATAAAAGCTGTGAGCTTAAAAAATGTAACTAAATTGTTCCTTAGCAAGTTGATAATCTAAAGTAGGGATCTCCAAGCTTTTAACCCTTTGTGGTGCACTACACTTTAAAGTCAGTATTTCAACAAGAAAAGTTGTATGCAGTCTATCTACGCCTAAAGGAGTATACAGAAAAATTTTTTAAAAAATTGCACTTACCGTTTCAATTCTGTGGGCGTTCCATGAGGTGGAACACTGCGCCACCAGAGCTCTTAAAAGTGTGACTAAGCGAGCATTTCAGTGAAGGACGGAAATGAGTAGAAGCTTATGTATAGTAATGAAAAACACTGTATTATAGCTGTATACATGGTTTTCTGGATATACACAACTTTCTTGAATATATATGGATAAATGAGATAAATATATGTATATACACAAGTCCTATATACAAAAATATTTACAAATTTTTCGATTTCATAGCTTCATGAAATTTTCAAAGCATGTCACATCTTTTCGATAGAAGCACAAACCAAACTTTGCAGGTTTTGAACAAAAAACTTGTTTTGTGCGGCTTCTGTTCCGTGCAACAATATGTTTAGAATTCCAAGTAAAAAGAAAGAAAAAAGAGAAAAAGAAACTCTTTCCTCTTCGGAAAGAGTTTTCCTGCCATTTATGGAAAATTAATAATAAAAAATTAACTGCAATTAATATTAACAATAAAGAAAAATAAGCTATAAGATATACATACATAAAAATATCTACACAATTATTGTAAATAAACGGAAATGAGACTAAAAAGTGATAGCAAACTAATTCGTGGAGCTTCCCTAAGTAAAGATGACTCAAGCTAATGTAAAATTCCCGCCTGAAAACTACTCACAAAAACTTCAAGATGTCCATATTAGGGCTTTCATAGCACAAACCACACCTCATCCCTCAAGACTGCTTTGTCTGAATTCATTCCTCCAAAACAATGTAAATAGAAAAAATATACAACAGATGTTTTCTCCTAAGGCAGATGTTCTGATGTGTAATAGCATGAGATCGCTAAAGGCGCAGTGTTCCCGCTAATGGAACACCCCATTTTATTTAATGATTCTGTGCATGCTTTTTGTATGAAAAATGTAAAAATATATAAATAATATAGAGTACAGCCATCAAAATTATACGGAATTTGTTTTCAAACTTTTTTTTTTTTTTCCATCACAAAACAATATAGAAAATTACTAGAAAATAAGTGAATTTTAATAACACCTCATAAATGAAAATTCTGGGTCTCCTTGTGATATGCTGCCATCTACTATTTAAAAAGAGAAGTTTGAAGATAAAGACATTTAATTAATAAAGGCATTTTTATCTATTTACAGTTAAATTTACCTGACTGTAAGCCTGACATGTTCTAGAATTAGCCTGATGATCAGTCGTAAAACTGCTGCCTTTCGTCAAGTTAGTCTTTCACAGTTGATGCAACATTCTTTTTCTTTGCAAATTAACGATGAGCTGTACATTTCGACACATCTCAAAGGTCTGTTTAGCCTTCCAAACATGGCTGAAGTGGTCAAACTCTTGGCAATTATGAGAACGAGATAATTTATAATATGCCCAAAAATCACAAAACAAAAAATCCAAGTATTATTCTGTTACAGTCTTTTATCTTGCAAAAGAATTCTAAGACCAGGTCAGTAATCCAACTTTTGCTTCCATCTTATCAGGGCAGAGATTGATGGGGAAAGACAATGGTTGTGCAAAGAGTTATGTTCAGTTCCTCAAAACCCAGTCTAATGCCTTCCACTTGGACTTCTGAGGCAGCAATTCCTAAGTGAGCTGTATAAGACTGGCATTTCTTCAACTGCTTTTCCTAACGGCTGCAGCTGTCCTCTTTCCCTGCAATGGATCAGCAGTTCTCTTCAGCAGGTAGGATGCACCTGCTACACTGTAGCTTGCTGCTGTGGATTTATTTCAGTTGTAAGATGCACCCAAATGCTTTCTACAAGTGTGGCCATTATCTTTTTGTTTAAAAAGTAAGACGTGCTTGGATGCTTTCTTTCTGATAACTGGTATCCACTTTATTTAACTGCTTCCCTTACAAATTATTTTGAAAAAAATTGTAAAAAATCATCACATTTTTTTTTTTATTTTATTATTAAATACAACAAAACGAAACAAATCAATATGTAGGTTTTAAGTTGAATTTTTATTTTTGAAGGTGTAAAAGCATTTATTTTTAATATTAGTTTACTATCCCGAGTTATCTCGGGCAAACGAAAAAAAGTTAAATATTAATCTTTGTATGATAGTTTTTAAAACAAGGGACAACACAGAGTGATACCTGACGTTCTACACTGGCATCTGGTCTCTTTTCTTACTGGCTTACCGCTGGAATCTCTTTCACGGGAGCACAGAGTGCACTGTCTCGTTGGATGTGATTTTTTTTTTTTTTTAAATTTTTTTCCCTGCTTTTTCATAATCACTATCTGAAAAATCATCGCTTTCACTATCTTCCATCATCGCCATTATTTAATTTTTTTCCAATGCATGGATCCTTCTTTATACATTACTAATCCACAAGCCAATGTATACTATACAATAGGGAAATACGCGATCAGTCCCTCCAAAAAAACTGTGCAACCAACAAAATTTGGCAAACTGCCAATCAAAGCTGAATATTTCCTTTCATTTCCTCCAGACCGAGTAAAACCATGATAAAAGAAATCGTACTAACAAATTCTGCTTTGCCCGAGTTTTGTCAGGATAATAATAAACTGCAATATATACGAACCCGAGATAACTCGGGATAATCAGGAAAGCGGTTAACTACTTCTATGAAAAGTGCTCCTTCTGAAAGTGAAGCCTCAGCCACTGTATCTTCAGCAATGCTGCGAGCTGGTCACAGCTGTCGGTTCTTATTCAGGTACTAGCATTGAAAATGCAGGACTGAAGCTTATTGGTATCAGCCTTATTCAGTTTCGTGAACCTGTTAACTGAAGTGCTGTCTCCAGGGAAGAAAGGAATTGTGGGAGAAGTTAGAATTTCAGAAATGGAGCAGGATGACTTGTTCGGGGCTGCTATATTATTGGCCATGGCACATGCTACACAAGTAAGGTATGCAGACATACAGGAATATCTCAGAACTAGAATTGCATGCTTAAAAATCCCTGGAGTTATAAAGATAAAATAGTGTATACCAATCAATGACAGTGGCACAAATCCTTAGAATGCAGATTGGGGATGATGCACTGCAAACCAGAGAACCAACAATCTTCCACAGGAAGTTACAGAGGTAAACGAAAATGGGCACCAAGTATTTACAAAATGTAATAAATAAAGCACTATTTTAATCCAATAACGTAAATAATGCTATTCTAGAATGCAAAAGCATACAGTAATATAGTAGCATGCATAATAATACAAAAGCATAATATTAAGAATGCACTAGCATACAAAGTTATATTTCTGCAAATAAATTTAAAATAATATAATAGTTATTTGCTTTTGTATTATTATGCATGCTACCATAAAATAATATAGTAGCATGCATAATAATACAAAAGCATAATGTTAATAATACAAAGTGATATTTCTGCAAATCCACAGCTGTTAAGTAGAATAGCTAATACAATTCCCAAGTAAAGTAGCAGGGAGAAATAAAATATTAATAATAAAAATAAAGACAAAAGTGCAAAAATGTAGTTCTTTATATAGTATAATGAAAAGAAAAAATAAGTGTTACAAATTCTCATAATTACAAGGAAATGAGAAAATAGAAATTTTTCTACCTTTAGAGTAATTGGAGTTGAAAACTTAATTAAATCCACTGCCGAGTTAAAAATTCATCAAAAAATACAGAGTGAAGTAAACGTCTACAGAAATGCAATTGAGATGATAAAATACTAATAATATCATAAAATATATTAAAAATTTTCAGCCTAGTCACTGGTCTAAAAGTTATACGAAGTCTATTCTTGCCAATAATGGGACTAAATGAGTATTATCAGGCAGCTATTTGGTATTTGGACATAATATATCATACACACAAACACTTGGAGTTTTCTTAGGAAGGGAGGGAAAAGTGCCACTATTTTAGTTACTCATATAATTTACTGTTATAAGGAAAATAGTCAAAGTGAGTGAGATGAAATGAGTAATACGAATAGTTTATGACTATGAAAAATATGACATGAATAGTGAAATTATGGTGGCAACTTAAAGAGATCTGAAATCATATATTTGAATATAACCTTTTTTTCTTTAGGAAAAAACTATACTTCCTATGCTACAACATATTTGTATTTTTCATTTTTGAAAATTCTATTGAAAGTTTTAAAAAACAATAATTCTGATCTATTGTTTATTATTTACAAATTTAAAAAAATTATATTAGCACAATTATCTTATCACGTAGACATGTATTTTATAACTGATATGATGTATCTCTCTATAGTAATGAAAAATAAATTTTCATTCAGAAATATAAAAGGAGGATGTGAAATCCAACTAAATTAAACATTAATGTAATATATTGTTATTAAACAAGATTTCTAAGTATACTTAAATCGGCAGTTTAAACATATTTTACTTTTGAAAAATAATTTATTTCATATCATTAATACAAAACTTACATGCAATAACATATCACAGAAATTATACAACTACAGCCTGTTAATAAAAATGTGAAGTATCACGCCCAAAGAGAAGCGTTTTTAACCAATCAATAGGAACTTGCATCCGTAATCTCCAAGATCCAAGACGAGTTAGATAAGCTGATCTCCAGAGAAACCATGAAGAAAATCCTAAAGCAATAATAATAATTAAGATTTGTTTCCAAAATATAAACAAGTATTCATATTTAAATTTAAGCGTGATTTTTAGCTAAAACAAATTCTGGATTTACAATTAACAAATCATTGGTTATTATCTATTTAAATACATAATTGTCTAGTGATGCTTGCACGCACATTTTTGCTTAAGTACAGTAAACACTTCCAAAATGTGGGGGTTACGTCATTAATATATTGCACATATGGCAAAATTGCATTTCACAAGATAAACTTTCAATGGAAAAAGTGTATTCGATATAATTCAGATTAATAAAATATATATGATTTTAAAAAAAAACTTTTTTAAACATCATGTGTTTTTTTGTTTGAGACAATGACTGATGCAGCTCTTCAGATGTTTTGCAGTAATAAGCGCAGAATTTTTCAATACCTCTTTTCTTTCTTCATTTGGGACAATCTCCATTGCAAAATCACAGTTCCTATGCTTTTTTTAACTATTTGTTTAACTTTTTGTAAGTTAAAGGAGTTTACCTTCTTCATTATTATTGCTTTCACTATTAGTTGGTGTTACAAGATCGTGTAATTTTTCATTCGTTATTTCTTGAATAATTTTTCGATTTCTTCTTTTTCCGCATCTGAAGAGCGTTCAGTATAAATTACTTTTGCAATCTGTACAATTTCTTTGGTTCTGTTTTCAATTAATGGTAATACTTTAAAATTGCGTTAACTTGATGTTGGAGTAAATTCAAGCAATCATTCAGTGTTGATGAAAGAACAATGAACCACATATGATTGAAATTATATTGTGGGACACAGTTAAGATAATGCATATGTGCAAAATCATGTTCTGCAAATCCTCACTTGGCAAGTTTTTACTGTATCTATTTATACTAAGGCTTACAACATAGTTTTCTGAGATGGCAGATTTAGCTGCTTAAATACCTAATTACAAACTATGACACTAAGATCACTCTATTCATTTATTATGGAAAACATGGCTCTAAAAACCCATCTACATGAGGCTACAGATTTGCCTAAATGTAGTAAGTTTCTCTTATAAACTTGTTGTCTGGCAGCAGTTCATATACTCAGGATCAATTTTGCTCTGAAGGTGCTACTAAGCCCAATCACAGAGATTAACGCACATAACATCTTTTTCTATCCAATAGGACATTTCCATCAAACATGTAAATTTTGATAGAAATATGATGGTAGTGTAAACACAGTTTACATTGTCATGCATGCAACTTACTTGAAACAAAGTATCTTTTGTGGTCTTATTCTTGGAAATAATATGCCAGATATTCCATATCACTTTAGTGCATTTGATAAAATCAATCAGAGCAAAGCGTTTAGCCATTGACAACATCCTTTGGAGGCAGTAATAAATTTAGTTGAATTAATAAATAAAATTAAATGCTGTGTAACCCAGTTTGCTATTCCAAGGAGCAAATAATTTCCATGTGCCATTTCATTGGCTGTTATTAATTAAGTCAACAGCAATTTTGTTTCCTATCTTGCTCATGATCACTACTACTCCTGGTGCTGGTCCTGTCTTGCCAGAAATATCTAATTGTAAAAAAAATTCCCATCAAAAAATGTTCTTAATAAAGTTAGGAACAAAAAAAAAAAAAAAAAAAAAGAGAGAGAGAGAACATGAAAGTAGTACCTTTAGTGTGGGAAGTAATCACCATCCTAATCTATGATTTTCTACCAACATTTTGATAGTTTTTCAAAGTACAGAAACTTGGTGGCCATGAGTCCATAAACAGATAAACTCATTTAAGACGTCTTGTGCAGAAAAGAAGATAGAATCAGCAAGATGTAGCTACAGGTGTTAAAAATGATAGAAGTCCGAAAGAGCGATGTCAAGGCTATATGGTGGGTGTGGCAAAAGATAACATTTGAGTAAATTAATAGAATGAGTTGGATGATGTCCAGCCAGTGAATGCAGACACATGAGGTCTTGCATTATCTTGATAGAACATTACCTTTTTGCGCCAGAACTCAGTTCGACATTTATCCTTAATAGCAGTGCCAACACAGACTTAGCATCTTGCTGTACACCTTACTGTCAAGGGTTTTACCTTTTTCCAGATACTCTTTGGGTGATAATACCACAGCAATCCCACCAAATACAAAGCATGATCTTTTTGTTAGTCAAATTGCACTTTGCGAAGGTGCCGACGTGCTCGCCAGTCGCAGGCGAATCCCCCTTTTCGACCTGTGCTGTTGAAGTAAATCCATTTTTCATCATGATTGACGATCCTGTCCAGAATTTTGTTCTTGTGCTTCTAATTGAGCAGATTAATGCAGACAACATCTTATTACCTAAAGTTCTACACATGATTTGGTGACATTCTGTAGCTGACTGTAACATAGCTGTAAGTAAATGACGGTTCTTATCTGGTAGCCATTTAATTTCAAAATCGATTGATAAAATATAAACAAACAAGGTAATATGAACTGTTTGAGCAGATGATATTTGCGGTGGTGGGAAACTTTCATTACGACCCAATGTGTTCCCAGTATGTGTGTGTTAAGTTTTCTGTTCAATAAATATTCACTAACTTCACGAAGACAGGGTATTTAGATTTACCTTTATTTCTGACATTAATTTTATTTTCTTTCCACTTTGTAACTTCACTTTGAAAATGACTATATATATATATAATGTTTATATATACAACTGTTGGTCATAGACATGTACTTCCAGTTACAGAAATATTTTAATGATACAAAGATTCATATTTTACATTTAAAGAAATCAAACTGGTAAATCATACAAAATCTAACTTTTTATACATTCCGCCAGTCTTTATATTTACATTTTGCAAATGTTATATTCTTCCTAAAAAATTAAACACAAAAAGTTTGACTCCCATATAAAAAAAAAAAAAAATCGACCAAGATATTTAATTTCCAAATTTGCCATTTCTAATGTCATTTTCAGTTTGCATAATGGACTTGTTTAGTAAATAAATGAGAAATATTCAAGGTTAATTTTTCTCCTTTAAATATAATTTAATAATATTCTTTTGTGATTTATTAATGTCTTCAATTTTATTAAATTTGGCATTTTGAAAGAATTTTCACACATAATTTATAACATTTCAATGTCTTAAATTATCTTATTAATATTCTTATGAAGTTTTATTCTTTTAGAGTTATAATCTGATACTCCTATAAGAAATTTATTAAACTACAAATATTTTTAACTACTGCAAATAATATGTGTTGGCAATGTGACAATGCCGAAGCCAGCCACTGTTTTCTAGAACACAAAATTCATAAGATTCTGTAAATCAGATCTCAATTTGGAAAAGAAAAATTATACTGATTTATACTTTTCACAATAATCTGCATAGAAATGTTCATTCCTTAGTCTCTTAGCATCAGAAAACTTTTCCTAAACCCATACTTTATTTTTGGTACTTCTCCGTTTTGCTGGCGCAAATGATAAAGTCGCCAATAATGGTACAACTGATGCCAAACGGAATATCTTCGCTGGTAACCTTTTTCACCTCATTTTCAAAGCAAGTTACAGCCATTTCTTTTCAGATTGATTGTTCCTTTCAATACTCACATACAATTATGTAGAATTTTTACAAGATAGTTAAATTTTATGTCCTAAGACAATTCGTGGTAATTAAGTCAATCAAAATGCAATCACACAGCTCACCCGAAGGCGAAAATATAGAAAAGACAAAATGAAGGTTTAAATTTATCAATTCTAATGAGAATGCACTAGCGAAGTAAAGCACTGCAGTTTTACATACTTTCTGAGTAAGCTATTCGTACGAATTGAAATAATTCTTGCATTTAAACTTGTATTTAAAATTAAGATTTAACTTGAAATTAATGTAGATAATATCTGTAGCAGATAATTACTGAGAGAATTAGATTTTTGTTGCATAGTTTATGTGAGATGAGATCACTTGGGGGTCACATGATCTGAAACGAAGAATCAGGATTTTGTACCATTAAAGCATAGTAAATTCTTAAATTAATGTCTTTTTACAAATTGTCTTTTTACAAAATGTTAAACGATATTAAAATGTTTATGCCTTCAAAATAAAAATTTTGTAGAACTAACATTTGTTAACATTTTTTATGTGTATACTCTATGTTGTCGCCAACAAAGTCTGCTTGGCGAGATTTGCGCCTGCGAAACAGAAAAGTACCTTATTTTTAGTTGCGTACAATGCAAACATTTCTCTTCAATTTGTGCTTGACCCCTGAATATGATGCTCAAAATGCAATATCAAATACGTTGGTCAATTTTTTATTGTACCGGAATCAGACTTCTTATGTTTTATTTTTTATATGGAGTATAAAATTTTCCTAAATATAAATATAGAGTAATTTTGATAAAATTGACTTCTTTAAATTTAAAAATGACAGAATCTTTACATCATTTAAAACACTTTTGTAACTGAAAGTATATATTTACAAACAATGGATATAAAAATAAAGTTGGGGTAAGGACTTTTGTTGATAGAGTGTACACATAATAGACACATATAAAATATATAACATTATATGTTACATATTTTGCATGTGTAGTTGACTCAAGATAATAAAAAAAATATTTTTTTAAAGCCAATATTTTTTATAATAGAAACTAGTTTTAGATAAATTAAAACTTTGGGATTAATTTATTACATAAACTGTAAGATGGTACTCAATTTGTTTTGGGGGGAGGCAGGACTTTCGTCATTAATTTATGCTATTTGCCATTAAAAGCATTTCACATTTCTGTAAACTAATTTAATGTTGTCCTTTTACTGCATTAGTGATACAGTTCTTTTCCTTTTACGTTTCTAGAACCGAACACCTTATATTCAGTGTCTGCCAAAAATATAACTGCGTAAACATTGCAGCCAAAAACATGTGGAGAAAACAACATGATCACAAAATGACATCATATGAAACACTGTAGTAAAAAAAGAAAGCTAAGATATGAAACACTGTTAGTTCTAAAAATGCAGTATAAAACATTATTGTAGAAAATAAAGCAGTGACAAAAATTTATAATTTAATAAAGAACCTTACAAAATATCATATAATGATAATATTCTAGGCATGCATTTTCATATTTTAAAAGTTTTAAATGAATATTCATTACTGCAATATGCTATGATTTGTAAGCATAAGAAGAAATGAAAAATATTTTTTATTCAGAAAATTAGTAAGAACTGCTACTATATATAGCAGTTAATAGAATTTTAAACTTAAGCAGTTAGCTACTAAGAGAAATTATATAAAAAATTAGTTTAAAAAAAAAAAAAAAGAAAAGAAAACGAAGACGAATTGTATAAGGTTACTTAAATGAAAATTTTATTTTAAACCTATAAAATCATTTTTTACTGTTAGCTTGATATTCTTTAAATAAAAATTATGTTTTGTTTTCCTTCAATTTATTAATAATCTTTTCATGAAATATGGTTAACATTTCCATGCAGTTAATGATTGATTATTGAATCTTTATAGCAAAACAAAACCATAATGTCAGTAAAAAAACATTAAGGGAAACAGATTTGCATTTACAACATATTAGGAAGATTGAAATTTACAATTATTTCGAAGAATTTAAATATAAATTTTTGCAGAAATGAAATTGTTTTTTACTTTCACTTCCAGATTCTTTTTCTTTTCTTCCTCAAGTAATTTATAACCAATTATTATTTTTTTTTATTTCCCTTGTTTAATTTCTTTGAAAATATTTTAACCCAAAATGTTTTGTATTACTTTTTTAGCCTTTATAATTTATTTTCTTGCTTCAATTAGGTTCCTTACATACATATGTATTATATAATAAACAAATATAAAGCTGTGAAGCACTGGTACTTCATAACTGGTGACTGAAAGGTCTGACGAAATATGGTTTTTTTCAACTTTCAACCCAAAGGCATACATATACTGCCAAGAAAACTTTTTAAAATGACTTTAAGAAAGTACATACACACACAACTTATATATGCATTTTGAAATGTATCCAAGAAATTAACGCACTATATTAAAAGTATATAAATCCAGGTATAAAATAATGGGCATTTTAGCATTAAAATCAAGAAAATACTCCTTTCTCATGGCAGTTTTGGGAAATTTGGGATTTCTTAGCAAAACCTTTCGCTAGTTAAGAGTGTTAAAGTAAACAGAGGCCTTCTTTTTACTGCTATTAATCTTTTTAATATAGTGCTTTCTTCAAATCAAAATTGCAAATACAGTTTTATAAAAAGAATCAGTTAAATGCCAATTCTTAGAATCAGCATTTAATAGCTTCCTACATAATTTAAAAATTCAATGCTTCCATAACTTGCTACGTAATTTAAAAATTCCATTAACTGCTACTCTATATTAAGTGTAATTTCTATTCATCTTTCGATTTTGGATACTTTTAAATGCCCTTGATTTTTCACTAAGGAATTATAATTCTTCACTTCTTCTCATTCTGAGAAATCATTATGCCTTGCAATAGCTAACATACATTTGAAAATTTTTAAATCTGAAAATGCATGTTTGTGATGTTCTCTTTATGTAATATTTTCTACATATTTTAATTTTTACCATGATCTTTTGTCACTATTTTATTTTCTACTATGATGTTTTATTATGGAATGTTCTGGATCATTATTTTTCCACTTGCTTTCTTTTCCAACAATATGTTATATGATGATACATTTTCTTCAAGTTGTTTTTACCAGTAACCTTACACTCAGTGATAGATGAGCAAAAAAAAAAAGTTTTTCAAAAACTATCAATCTTCAATTCAGTCAGGGAGTCTTCAATCCTATTTTTGCAAAGTTCATTGACTTCCCAACTTAACTCATAAACATCGTCATTTAAAACATACACCAAATTATTTCTGGTGCTTTTATAATGTTCTGGATAGTTACAGAAATATTTAAAAATGTGTTAAATTTTTCATTGCATGTCCAATTTTCATACATCCATGTTAAAAGTGAAATTTACCTTGAGCTTTAAAATCTGGTAAATCTGTTAAAGCTTTGTAACCACCTATATAGGCTAGCATACCAGCAGATTTGAAATGAAATGGGGGTTTATTATTTCCATTTGCTGACTTATTTAAACAGTGGGCCAGATATCTTCCTTGTCGTTCAGCTACCTAAGAAGAGATAAACAGCATTATGTGAATTTACTCTATGATTAAAATAATATTTAAATACATTACAGAAATTACTAGAAGCATTATTAAATATAATACAAAAATTCATAAAATGATTTTTAAAAAATTTGAATCAAGCAGAAATGCTTTGAAACTATTTTGGAAATTTATGAAGTTTTTCATGACAAATGCTAGATAAAAAAAATTCTTAAATATTACGTAGGGAATTATATGTTATATCCTTGAAAGATTTTGATCTACTAAAATCTGATTATTATTGCTGACAATTTACATGAAAGTGTAAAATCCTTTATAGCATCTTTATTATTTTAAAAACTGACAAATTTTGGAACTTAAAAAGTAGAAAGTTAAAGTTGAAGAAAGTACTGTTCAAAACAGAAGTAAAAGTGATCCTCAAATATAAACTAATATACAGTTTTGAATTTTCTAAAGTTTTTCCTCATTTGCCATCCTTAGATTTGAAGATGAAGAAATTGTCAAGAGTAGCATCATTCACATACAGCAGACTTTTGATTATTCAAATTTAATGGTATCAGGATATTCTTGATAACTGATTTTCATATTTAAAAAATATGTCATCAAATTATTTTTTCTTCAACATAGTATACTTTATTTCAGATAAAGACAAATTTATTTTCAGGTATTAAGTATTTCATTTCAATGTAGTTTTTCAGCAAAATTTAAAAATATGTATAAAATATTCCAAACTAGCACCTGAAATCATTCATTTTCATTCCAATTTTCCCTTAACACTTACATCGCTATAGACAAGATATCTCAACTTCCAAGAATATTCACTAAGCACTAACGGTGAGATATCTTGTCACATATACAAGGTTTTTCTGTATTACTGCAACATGTCCAATGATTTTTTTAAAACTTTTCAGCACATCCCAGTCCATATTATTTCATTTACATGAAATTTCTGCAATTTGGTACCAATAACAAAATTTTCAGAACTTTGACAAAATTTTTGTAATTATTCAGTTTGCTTTCCACTTTTATTACATTTGTTGTATATTATACATACTTGGTACACTTTTTTGAAAAAAAAGAGTAAATAAAAGTTTGTTTGAATTGATGAGGCAATAAAATTATCTAACAAAGAGCTTGTTAACAAGACTAAGCAAACATGGATTCACTTCAGTGTGCCACAGGTTTAAATATTAATGATGATAGAATAATGCTTTATGAATGAAATGTTTTAGAAAGTAGTGAAAGTGAAACCGATGATTTTCATGTAGCTTCAGCATCATATTATGAATGTCATAAAGCTGATACGAATTACATGCAGACTAATGAAATTATTTTTTGCCACTGCTGCCCTGAAAATACATCTCTTGGCTTTCTGATAACCAATAGCATTTTTCTGTTTAGTTACCACTAAAGAAATTATGCAAATCATTGTATCAGAAACCAACACGTATGCAGAGCAATGTACATATGAATCAACAGCCAAACAAAAAAGTCATGCACATTGTTGGAAACCCACAGCTGCTGTAGAAATGGAGAAATATTTGGGATTTACTTTTGCAATGGATCTAACCAAGGAACCTCATCTACTACTAGACTACAAAGACTACTGTTCAAGAGATTCAGTGTTAGCAACAACGATTTTTAGCAATTCAATGGCAAGACACTAATTCAAACTCTTACAAAAGTTTTGGCACTTTAACAATAAGGAAGATAGTACTGGGTTGCACAAGCTGCAAAAGAATTCTAATGCTCTCCTGGATAATTTTGAAAATCATTATACACCATGTATGAAATTTTCAGTAGATGAGTTGAAAGTTTCATAGTTCATTCGATATCTTGTTTTCTGCAAATGCAAAACTATGGGCAAAATACCCATGTACAATATAAAACTTGACATGTTTTGTAAGCCAAGTGCTTGTATATGGAATGTACTTGTGTATTGTGGTATGATGGATCCGATGTCTGATTAGGTCACATGGAAAGAATAATAATGTTTTTGGTGGACAAACTTCTAAACAAAATGCATGTGCTTTACACAGAAAAATACTACATGTGTATAATTCTGGCAATTAAGCTCCCCTAAAATAAAACATTATTATCTGGAACATTGTGATCAAACAGAAAGTAACTCCCCAAAAAAATCATGAATGCAAAGTTAAAGAAAGGTGGAACAGTCATGTACAGAAAGCAAAATAGCTTTGTGATGAAATGCAACAGCGAAATGAAATGTCCTTATGCTCTGGTAACATGAAAATCTCGGGTAAAATGAACTGAAAAGTAAAATCTGTCACTAAACCGTGTGACATTGATAGACAGGGTTGCCTCTCAAATGGAAGAATGATATTCCCTGACTTTTCCAGGTTTTCCAGATATGTTTTAAGAAAACTTAAGTCTATCCGCATAGTGCGCATTGGCTGTGCTGAGAGGTAAATTAATTATGGTGCCACTTGAAAACACAAAAATTTTACAATTACATATGACTTTACATAATTGCATATTTCCAATTACATATTACATATACATATACAGCAAAAAATATGTGCATTAAATTTCATGATAGTATGTTATCCTACTGCTAGAATTAGTTTCAGGATTATGCCAAAGAAAATTACCTGAAATATGTGAGTATTATTAACTAATAATGAATAAATTTAGAGGGAAGACTTAAACATTAAATGATATGAATAACATGAAAATAAACTTAATTACTTAAAAACTGAACTACAATAATCAACGATATTTTGGCGAATAAAGTTATATTAAATGGTTAGCCTAGATGTCTGATTGCTTTTTATTTTACTGCTAAATAACAAATAAGGCATTTATTAAAAAGAAAAAAAAAAGGGTTTATAATATTTTTCAGTAAAATCCTAGTATATGTTACGGCCTTGGCACAATTTTGAAAATTGTCACCAACACCAAAATTACCCATTTACTGCTTATCATAATGTCGCCGAATCCCGTGAGTACCATGTACTAGGATTAAATTGATTTTGTTTTATATGGGAATGGGAAGGTATTTTCTTTAATTCAACATGTACTTGCACATGCATATATGAGTCTCTCAATTCTCGAGGTTACTGGAAACCAAAGTTGCTGGAAACTTGCTTTGCCTTTCTAAAAGACAAATCTAAGTGGAACTGCGAAAATTAGGTCTATGCCAGCTCTCGAATAACACTCACGTGATACATAATTCACCAAGAAAGCTTGTAACGTTGGCGCAAAACTCTTTTTTGGGGATCGCCGTATGAAATTCCCTGACTTTTCCAGATTTTGACTAAAATATTTAAATTCCCTGATTTTTTCAGTTTTCCAGATAGTGTGGCAACCCTGAATAGGATCAGCAGCTTTCCTATTACTCATCATTATGGCAATCACTAAAATGGTACAGAAATATTGTGCTTAAACATTTGGATATGACAGTTTCTAACTCCTATATTTTGTATACCAAAATCACAAGAAAAAAAAACCTCAAATCTGGTTTTCAAAAAGAAATAATAACTTTGTTACTAAATTCTAGTGAATGCAAGCTACACCAGATCTTAGAAATTTTTTCATGCACCATATGTCTCCAGATATGTTGCAAACAGAAGGCAAATATTACATGGACACAATACCCGCAATATCAACTAAAGCTACATCAACGAGGAAGTGTGCTGTTATGTTCTTCCCGCCAAATTATGTTCTTCCCGCAATAATAAACACAATACGTGTGCAAAACATACACATCAAAGCCTGCATTTTGCATAGGAATTTAACTTTAGTACTAGAAAGAACTCTTAGCACTGAGAGTAAAACAAAGGTACACCACTGCCAAAATGAATTTGTTACACAACAAAAACTTGCTCACTTCTTTCATTAAAAATGCAGTTTTCTGCATTTAGATTACATAATTAAGAATAATACATTAACATAAGACTATTTTATTCCATAATCAAAGACTAAAAAAATAAATAAGTCCAGAACAAAAAAGGCATAAGCAGAAAATGGCATAGGCAGCATTATTTTCATATTCACCTCAGGATAGGTGAATATAAAAAGAATGATTTCTACAGGTCTCGGAGATGCAAGAATTAAAATTTTTATCTCCATATCTGCATCTTATATGTAGGCTATTCCAGAGCTTTTTCAAACATCTATATAAGTGAGTCCAAGTAATAAAAACTCAACAATATTTTAAAAATATAATTTAGACCTGCTAGTTTCATATGCCAGACAATGATACCTGAAGATAAAGCTATATTTATCTTTTATATAAGATCTTTTGAGCCTCAACAAACTTGCAACTTTTGTAGAATAAATAAATAACTGATGAATGACTGAATTAAATGAATCTTTATACTATCTATTATATACTTTTACTTTCCAAACACAGAGCTTGCATACATATTTTTGAATGAATTTGATTAAACAGATAATTGAAATTAACAAAATATTAAAAAAATAATTGGTAATAGTTTTACACTGTCTACCATAATTAAAACTTCATAAGAAACATGAAAATATGTTTTAAAAACTGAAAAAGTTGACATCAATATCTATGATCCTTTTCACATATTCTAGCAATCCCTTGGTATGATACTGACACACTGCTGTACTTTGGACTATTAAAAATTGCACTTTTACGAGAACCAGACAGACTATGGAAAAGCACAAAATGAGTGGAAAAAACTGCCATCGTAAAATTTGAAAGTGCCTTTTTGTCATAGAAATTAAGCTATAGATTGGTAGTTAGCTACCATATTAACACTTGACAAATATGTATAACTTTTTTTGCTGTATAAAAAATCTGAATTTTTACACATTTATGCTTTTCTGCATTTCACCAGGATTTCTTGATGTCAAAGGTATTATTCATCAAGGCCATTCATTACACCAACTAAAAGGCTCTCCAGAAAATTTATTAATTGGAAATTATGTATTATATTTATCAAACCAAGCACTGCAAAATTACTGAAATTTAAATTCACAACTAACCTTAACATACTTATATTGATCATAAATCTGTGCATATAGCTTTGTCTAAATTACTTAAAATCATGTTCAATGTTTTTTCATGATTTTGTTTTTATTATTAAAATGAATTATTTAGTATCACATCTAGAATCTAATACTCAATAAATATACTAATCGATATTCGTATAGTAAAAGTGTGATTATAAAAAACTGAAATTCATGCTAGAAAAGCCAAATTATTAGAAAAAATTCCCACTCTAAAATTATTAAAGCAATCATCTTATTTGCTACCAACTTGAGTATCAAAAGCCTAACATTAAATAAGATTTTTCTTGGAAGGGAATGCATTTCAGGTTTACAAAAGCCAACATATTTTGTAGGCCTTGTAAGTAAAACATAGAATCTAATTATGAAATCATGTGAAACATGAAAACTGGTCAATCAAGAGATGTCACCAATCATTATGGCAGAAATTTAAATGATCTTTATTTACATAGATAATAAAAAGATATACAAAAAATTTAAGTCACTTATCATAATTTTTCATATTATATCACTTTTGTTTACCCATTATAAATCGCATATCATGGCATGTTTTTTCTTTGTGTGTGTGGGGGGGGGGATCCTTTAACTTTGAAAATACTCCACATCATACAGTGTCAAATTGCTTTTCCAAAATGTAAGGAAAAGATAGAACTTATATCCTTCTTTACAAAAATTAAACTAGCTTATTGAGAATTAATTGAGTTTACAATAAACCTAAATGAAATTATGATTGTGATGTCATGCTTATTCATTATTAGCATTAAATCACATTGTTTGGCAGCAATGAATATGTGTTAATAGTATTATAAGCTCTATAATGGCATTGCAGATCTCTCATTAACTAAATTTTTTAGAAGAAAACTTTTTTCTCCAATTCTAAAATATTCTTAGTTGAATGCTGGATAGTCGAACTTTTACTGTATTTCTGTTCCATCAAAAATATACAATTCTTTGCAAGAGTATTAAAATATGAAACTTTATCTCAATCATATATTTCCTATATCTTGATGTATTTATTCATTTAATCTTCGGGATTTAAAGAACAATTATATTGGATTTTAAATTAAATGTTTAAATATTACTAATAGCAATTAATTTTTTCAGTATGCCTAAATTTCAGTAGGTTAAGCCTTTTAATAAATTATATTGACAAGTTAGGAAAAGATGCATGTAGTCATTTACCTGAGCAGTGCATGGTAAAGGCATCGATTGAATATCAGCACAGTCACCTATTGCAAATACATTTTCTGAAAATTCACCCAAAACTCTCAAATAACCATCAGTTAGAATCTAAAAATAAAAATATATAGTATTAATTATTTGGCTTTTCAAATTGAATAAAAAAAATTTCATTACAGTATTTTCTCATCATCAACAATTTCAATTATTTATAGACAAGGAACCTGAAATTAATTATGAAAATTAGCACTTTTATTAGGATTTAAAACCTTGCACAATTTACTTTTACTCTGACACATATACACAATCATTTACTGTTTGATTACAATCCCTACTAGTTTCTTCACTTTAGAATATAAATGACCACCAAGAAACTTCAGAACTTGCATGAAGAATGTTAAGATGAGATTAAAGCATTTGCTTGCTTAATTGATTCTATTTTAACTATTAAAAGATAGGCTTTTGTTTGAATTTTTAATAAAAATGCACCACAACCTTTTTTATTATTATTATTATTCTATGGCTGTGGAGATTAAATTCATCATCAAAATGTAAATCTATGTAGCAAGTCCACATGGAAATAAAAGAAGTACAAAATTTACAAGGATTCAAAATATCAGTAAATGATTTGATGTATGTTTTAAAAAAAAGGCCATTTTGAGTCCAATTTTGGACTCTAATAATAATCTAACTCTCAAAGTAGGTGACTGTTCCAACTTAAAATCCCTAAAAGGAAGTAATTATCCTCAATTTTTCCCACGATGAAGAAAAAGGCTCAGAACAGAACCGAATGCTGTAATGGACAGTTATGTCTAGCCATTACTACCATCTATTATATTTCATTATGTTTTTTGTGTTTTAAAGCCTATTATGTTTTTGTTAATGCACTAAAATAAAATGATAAAGTCATCTAAATTAAATTATTTAACACTTCATTATGACAGCACAGTGTCCATTGCATTCATATATATTGGATACTTCTTAATTATGACAAAAGTCTTGCTGGCAAGTGTAGATTCAACTTTAAACATATTTCCAATCAAGAATGAAAGCTGTTCACTGCCTTTGTCAATAAGAACATGAGTGAACAACTTACAGAATTTGTAGTTCCACAAAATGAACATAAAATATGATCCATATCCACAAGTTATTTGTCATAAAGCTATTTGATATGGTTAGCCCAGTCTTGACATACAGTTAAACCAATATTAATGGATACTCCCTATAAATAAATAGTTCCTGTATCTCTGAACTCTCAAGATAGGTGACTTTCAAACTTAAATAAAACTTAACCTAAAAGGAATTAGTTATTAATTATATATAATTCAAAACAGAATGTACAGTATAAAATCCTATCTTGCATCAGATTCTAGTTATATTCTCATATCAGATCATATTTACACAGTTCTACAAAGCATCTAAAAAAATATTGAAATATGTAAAAAAAATATTTACTAACTTGTCCTTTATTGTTTTTAGGCACAAGAAGGCGTTTTGTGAAAGGCTGAGGGCTGAGGCCAGTGCTCCACACAACTAAACCACATGGTATTGTGGTTCCATCTTGTAAAATGACACAATCTTCTTTTACTTCTGCACAATTAAATTAAATAAAAAGAAAATCTGAAGTAAGATAAATTATAACATATAAAAGCTTTTTTAAAGTACTTATCACAGTAATAAACTTATATTACTTATAATAAATAATTATATACTGTATATTCTGGCATATAATGCACATTTTTAACAACACCAAAAATATGATCAAAATTTATGGGTGCACATTATACAATACGGTATATATTTTCAAGATATTCAATCTGAAAATAGGCTTAATTTTTTCCTATCAAGCACAATTTTATTGCATTGAAAGGAACAATAAATAAACATTTTTCAATGACTGAAAAGCATGAATACTTTTCAATATCAACTATGATGAACTCTCTCACATCAATCACATCTGAGAGTAACATATATTTCTAATAACTTAAATAAACATTGGCACTGAGCATCAGCTCTCTAACAAAATTACTGCCACAGAAGACATGATTTACTCAATACCATGAGTAGTTAGCTTAAAGAGGGTTTGTTACATTTTGGATTTGAAATTTACGAATATTTTTTGTTCAGGACCAAGATAATAATAAAGTAGTTAAAAATACTCTAAAATTCATAAAATAAAAATTTAAAAAAAAATTCTACAAGAATTAAACAGACTAAAAAACTTAAACATAATCTCAATACTGTGAAAATACTGACAATGTTAACAATTGATTCTTAAAGATTTATAAATCTTTTTGGAACTGTTTTACATAAGTAACTTAGACTTTTAAAACACAGGCTGTGAAACCAGATGATTAATTAATTTTTATTCTCACTTAACTGGTAGAAAATGACCAAATAAAATAGTTATCCTTATTTCATAATAATTTTAATGTCCTTGAAATAGTTGATAAATATCTTTCTGTATTAGCTAAAAGCATGCACAGAGTGAGAGGCTATTCCAAATGTAGATATACTTCCTGAAAAGAGGCACTACAAAATGTTGCCAAAAATAATTGAATAGTAATATTATTTTTTGCTCCATAATTTTACCTATTCTAAAAATAATAAAAATTTATAAATTCTCAGTTAAGACACTTTGAAATTATTTTGTTGCTTTGTAAAATCCACAAATTTGACTTTAAAATTAATTTTTGTTTTGTTGTTATTGATTAAAACTATTTTGCCTTGATATTTTAAAGTTCAACAAAAACTTTAAAATTAAAAAAAAAAAAAAAAAAAAAAATTCAGATTTTACATTACACCCAAAGGGGAATTTTTTTTAACATTTTGTGGATTACCTTCATTTATTAAATATTATATTCCTCCCACTTAAACCATAAAATTTAGTTCAATAGCACTATCGTAAAATAATTTTAAAATAAGCATATCTTTAGAATTTCTGATACACAGTCTTGTACGCTGGAGTTAAAAATTCCCCCCCTACAGTGGAGTTAAAAGTTCCCCCCCCCACAGTGCCATTGCTCGCTTTGAAATCATTGAGTTTGTTAGTCAAAAATTTGCTAAAATTTTACAAAATATGTAATAGATAATGAAACAAATTCCAAATTTGGGCTTCTAGATGCCCATATTCAGGTGGAAACGTTATTCAAAATTTGATGGCTCTAGGTACTGTCCTTTTATCACAATGTGAGAAACACACATACATTTATGCAGATTCTTCATTATTTAATTTCCTTAAATATAATACAGGGCTATAATATTTGGTGGCAACAGTTTGAAAAGTGAACCAACATTTAAAGTTTTCAGCACAAAATGCCAAAATGAAATTAATAGCCCTTCTGGGCTAATGCCCTATGGGTTAACAAGAAATTTTTCTTTTCTTGTTAACTCCAGACTGCAAACAAGTCACGATTGCATGGCACATCATCTTAATAAAATTGGCATCCTTCCATCTAGTATATGCATAATTTGTAATTTGGGCATCATGAATGCAGAGCATCTTCTTAATGCCCGGAACTAGACAGAGTCTCAGAAATGCGGTGAGATAAGCAAACTATACTGGAATGCTAGAACTTTCATAAACTTCTTGTAAAGACTACATCTCTTATGTACCTTCTGTTGTGGTTTAAATTTTTAACTTTTTACTTTTGTTCTCATGTTCATCTGTTCTGGTTCTCACTTTAAATGTTTGTTCTTTTTTATTACTTATCGTTGTTCTTGTGTGATACTTGAGCTGTTTTATATGTATGGATTGATTCTTCCAATAAAGTCATATGTAACAACAACACAGTAAGGTATTATCTTCTGTAAACCAACTAATGATTAGTGTACTGATTTTAATTTAATCCTTTCAGAAAACTGAACAAAGCACACATCAAACTTTTTACTAAACTATGACTGTACTTTCAGAATGTATTTTCTGGAAAATAAATACAATGAAATCTATAAAATATTAACCATATCGAAACTTACCAATCACAGATGACTTTAGAAGAGTAAAATTAATTCGTTCATTCAGTTTCTTTTCAGCATAAGCTCTTAACTTACTGTCAAATGACCCCAAAATATTTGATGCTTCAATTAACGTTACTTTGAAAAGAGCTTCTTGATGCTTATACAGTCGTTTGACATCCTGAAATAAATAAACAAATTAACTGCCTGCATAGAAATTTAAGGGAAAATAATTTGAAGTGTATTAAATATATTAAAATTTTTATATAATAAATTACAAAAAATCATAATGACAACAAAATTAATATGAAAGTTATTTCTTATTGGGTGATGATATCTAAATAAACCTTATTTCCCCCTTACGGTTATGTACATTGCACTATGAAACCAAACTTCAAAATTCATTTCATAAAAATTTCATTCATTTTTCATTTTAAAATTTCTTTTGACAAAAATATCTCCATGGCAACTTGGATTATTTTCTAACAGAAAAAATATTAGTCCATAATAATTAATTTTAAAATTGCAATGTTATTCCTTTTTTCCTCTAAATATATACAATAGTAAAAACATTAATATATAATTTGTGCACATGACTGTCAAACTATGTGAAATGACATGGGATTTTAGAAATTTTATAATGGATGTTAAAGTACTCATGGTTTAGATCAAAATATCATTTAAAAAGAAATTTTAGTACTTATTGGTTATATGATGGCACGTACTCTTGGTTATATTTTTTGCTGCCAAGAAACAAAACATTGGAATAAGTAACAAAGGTGAATAAATTAAGTAATATGGAAAATTCTAATTTACTTTAAACAACTGCATGCTATACGGGGAGTTAAATTTTTGCTATTGCATGTAGCATTATAAAATGGAAAAACTATGCTGTAAGATTAATCAAAAAATGGATTGCCAACAGCATGTCTCGCAGAACATGACTTTTTTTTAAAAAAAGAATGATTGAAAAGAAAACTACAAAAGCTTTAATGGAGACAATGAGACTGACAACTCAATAACAGTTATGGATTGTTGCAGAGAATATCTAATCAAATAGTAGAGAAGGGTTATCAAAATGCCCTTGGAGATGTTTTTACCACCAAAAAAGTTCTTGGTATCAAAAATTATTGCCATGAATCAGTGGCATGCGGTAGGTTTTTATGCAGGGTGTGCAGAGAATAACAATAATAATAAAAAACCATAAAAATGTACATTAAACACTTCTTTAACTTTTTATTATTCATTTGTATACAAAATCCATACGTCTATCTGCATTACTAACAAAATCATCAATTACATGATCATAAAACTCTGGTTTTGACTGTAATAAGTGTAACATTTCTTTTTCTATTGTTATTAGAGATAAATTTAGATCCTGGCTCATTGTATTGCGTGCATAATTTTTTACTTTTCTTAATACTGAAAATGATCTTTTCACCGAAGCAGTTAAAAATAGAATTGTACAAATTAAATGTGCCAATTTATTTACTTCGTTTAGGGCATCTGTCAAATCATTCAGCATTATATGCTGAATAAGTTTCGATAAATTCATTTTGTTGTATGACTCACTACGATAAAAAACGCATAATTCATTGGTTAGCTTTACAAAATCCAAATGTTTTGCATAAGCGTTCTTTAACGAATTAAGGCATTCATCCGGAAATTTACTTGATATTTCTTAAAAAAACTGAAATTCGATAGTTCAAAAAATTTGAGCGAATTTAATTTTCTAAAACGGACATCTAACTGATAATAAATAGTGTCCATTATTTCATAATATAAATTTTTAAAATGTTGGTCTTGGTCTACACTTGAGTTTTGTAAATTTACACGACATTTTTTTAAAGTTGGGGGACCCACTACAGAAATAGTCTCTTCATAAACTTCATCAAATGCTACAGAAGTTTGCATATTTTGAATTTCATCTTTTACTTCTACTTTTTGACTAGAATATGCTATATCTAAGTTAGTTTTTTGTAAAATATCAAATAGAACATCAGTATAATTAAACACTTTGGCAAAAATATTTAGGAGAAAAATACTGTTAAATTCTTCAAAAAACATGTAATAACTCTTTGCAATATTAATTGTATCGTTATCCCAGCCTTCTGGATTCTCAATAATATTTTCAAATAAATCAGATGGGCCTTGCCTTTTGCTTTTTAAGGTATTTACCAAATGAGATGAATAGTTCCAACGTGTTGTAGCTAATTTTGGAAATTTTCTTTTAATAATTTCATTTAAAACATGATTTCTTTTTGTAGACACCGAAAAAAATGAGGCTATGCCAGAAATTGTTGCAAAAAATAATTTACAATCTTTTATAAACAATACAAATTGCAACAGAACTAAATTAAATACATGTGCACAACAGTGCACAAACATAGCTTCTGGGAAAATGTCTTTTACTTTTTTCTGCGTCCCATTCAATGCTCCTGCCATGACTGCTGCCCCATCGTACCTTTGAACAATCAGTTTATTCTCACGCCCCCAACTCAAAATCGTTTTTTACACAACATTACACAAAGCTTCCGCTGAACGATCACCACTAACAACTTTAAAAAACAAAAATATTTCCACTGATGCATTACAATTATTAACTCCATTCGACACAAGTCAAGTTATTAACATAATCGTAGCACAGCCGATAATTGTGATTTGTGGGATATGTCAGATGTTTTATCCAGCATAATAGCAACGAATAGCGTTTCTTTTACCTTATTTCTAATTTCTGAAATTACAATATTTTTTATCGATGTAATAATATCATTTTGTATTCTATTAGAGGTTCCAGAAAATACAGTTGCAGTTCTTAGATGGTTTGCTAAAAGGTCATCATATTTACTATTTAAAGTTATTAATTCTATATAATTTCCTTGATTAAGGAATTTATATTCTCATTTTGTCCACGAAATGCATCTTCTTGTTTTGCTAAGTAACAAACTACATCTATTAATCTCTTGAGAATATTTCTATTTCTTGTTACTTTTTCATTGTGTTGAACAATCGATGAAAGCCTTTTGTTGATCTAACATAAAATCTACATAGACTCCAACCTTCAGCAAACCTTGTCAGTAGTCAACAACAACGCGCGAACGACATTTTTACAACTTTGAAAATGTGCACGTAGCATATGTTGTAATTAACCATTCATTAATTTTAAATTAATAATTAATTGTAATCAATTTTATTACATTTAAAATCCATATACATATAAAACTGAATAATTAAAAATATACCTTGTAAATTATATGCACATTTAATTAGAAATTTTCTTTTAACTCCTCAAGCATTCACTAATAAAAAGTACTTCAAATCACTACTAATCATAGAAAAAAATCAGAAGCTATAAATCATATCTTTATTCTGGATATGATTTCTACAGGGAAATAAAATTTAAATAACCAAGAATGATACATATAAGTATTAAACAAAATACGCATAATTTATGAATGCAAAGATTTATATGTAGCATGCTTAGCAAGCTTAAGTTCTGATTTTGAGAATGTTTTTTTATAACACAGTTCTTCATTTGCCTGCATATTTATTTTTTCAATCAAAACTGCTTCAAGAGTTTTAAGACCTAAATTTGGTCGAAAATTCCGTCTGATTTTTTTTAACAATAGAAAAAATTCTTTCGCAAGCTGCATTTGAATGAGGTATTATTAAGACAGCAAGCATTACAGAAGGCAATACTTTGTATTTAATACACCCATTCATATTTTTTAATTTGGCAATTTCTCCCCATGCTATATCAATACGCAAATCTACAATTTCTTTCAAATCATCTACTTGATACATGGAAAATTCAATTTCTACTTGATTAAGACATTTTTCATCAATAATGGATGGAAAAGTATTCATCAAGTAAAGAACAGATGAAAATGAGACTTCAGTTCTCAAGTTGATGTCAGCACAACTTCAGCATGTTTTAGAAATGGATCACTCAGTGGAAATTTATCAATTATATATGAACATGCAGTTACAAAAAAAGCTCGCACAGAATTGAAAAATGATTTCACTTCACTTTCATTCAACTTGGCATTTTTTAAATATAGTCTTGTTTCCGCACCAATCACTAAATTTTCATTTTCTTTTTGTTTACTATACTTCTGAAATGGAATAGACGTTAGAGTAACATCTTCATTTTCTTTAGAAATTACTGATGGTTTTACGAATCTAACAAATAAATTCATTAAAAGTTCAAAAAGTTCTCTTCTCAATTTATGTATATAAGGAGCTTGTTGTTGCAAATTAATATTTACTGTTATAAACAAAGGCAAAGTATTTTTCAAAAATAACAAGTACAATTTGGTGGTCGGTGACTGTAAAATTTTTTTAATGTTTTGCAATCTCTTTCCTTCATTCTCACTGTTATCTGGTTTATCTCCAAAAAAATTTATCACAGCATCCCACTGTTCCAAAATCCTTGTTATAGATTCTAAAAGAGACAACCATCTCGTACTGCAATATTTCAAAATTTTATGAGATTTTGCATTCTGTCCCAAAATTTGTTGAGCAACTTTGAAGCTATGCTTCCGTTTCGAACTTTTCTCCAAGTAAAAATATATATCTATTATCAACATTTCAATTTCTGAGCCAATTAATTTTTCAGTAGCTTTTTTTGCAGCTATATGCAAGAGGTGGCACGGACAACCTCGGGTGATTATACTTGGTTGATGCATTTTGATAAATGATGCTACACCTTTAAACTTTCCAATCATATTACTAGCATTATCTGAAGAAAATGATAAGCAATTTTTCCATTCTAAACCTTTGTTTTTAAAGTTTTCATTTATACAATTAAAAATACCTTCTCCTGTATTATTCGTGCATTCTAAAATAGAAATCAATGAAGTAATTATCACTCCCTTTTCTTTACTGTAGTATGTTATAACCAATGGGTACAGTTTGTTATCATTGTTATCATTACTTCCATCAGTACTTAGAGAAAATGATGTACTGCACACTGATTTTATAATATCAGCAACAGTATTTTCTGCAAGCGTTTTCACAATAGCAGCAGTTTTGGTATGACCGCAGCTAAATTTTTTTGCTATGGCAGAATCCGGAAACATTGCTTTGAAAAGCTCTTTGGAATGATCCGAAACAGAGAGCGGTAGATTATGTTCAATTAAAAACGAACAAAATAGCATTCGGCTTTTATAGGATCTGTTT